TATATGTCAGGATAAAGACATTTTCTACGTGTATAGATCAATACAAACACGATACCGTACAAATTAGATTTCGAGAAAATATATGCAATCATTGAACTAGATGCAAGAACTCATGCGGCACCGGGTTCTAGCCTTCAAAAATATCGTAATCTGTCATCGTTCTATATTTGTACACATTCACATGTAGTACACCTCTTCCTTTAAAATGAAAATAAACTTCGGTTACTTTGAATGGTATTACTAACTGAGTCCCCAAATTTTAAAATGACGATTTCGTGTTTCAGCGATTTGTTGGAATGCAGAACAAACAATCGGGCTCCGGATATCAAATGACACTTACTTTTTGTTTACAGAAATCAACTCTTTCCTGTCTCTTCAAATTGTTGTACAGGACAAACAATGGCAATGTTATCTAGTACACGGGAGATTCGCCCCACCGGGCGCACGGTGAGCGACACTTGTAAGAAAATATATCGAAACTGTGAATGAAGGACATTGAGCATCGATCTTCCTTACAGACGAGAAAGTTGATAATTCAATTATTTCTTCCCAAGTTTTTGCCTGAAACTACCAGCACAAATTTTATATACAATGTATGCCTGCCTGAATACAAAAGAAAAACTTTTACAGACACGTATTACAGAAAAAGGATTATAGTTTTAAAAAGATAACTTTTCGTGTTATGCAGAGTATACACGGCAACACTCTGTATATAGTCATAGAGTATAACAATATTTCGTACACTGTCCAGGCCCCTGCTGTTATCGTCTAGACCACAGGATCTTGATAATTCATTATTATGGCGACATATATGACATTGCTGTATGCCACTCATTTCAATGCATGGTCCTTTATTTTCATTCTTTTGATTACATAAATATTGGGCGGATCTCCTTTATAATTTGCTCATCATTCTTTCATGTTTCTTTATGTGTTTATGTTGCTTGTAATTTTGTCTACTTGATGAAAAGAAATTTTAGATCATCACAAGTAGAAACAAAATTAAACCAACGCTCGCATACAAGAAATATACAATGGGAACGTTCCAACAGAAAGAGCAGACGTAAAAAAACCCATAAGTCATTTAATTTTTAACATTTATATTCAAGGTATGAAAAATAACAGATGTGCAATATTAAGATTAAAAAATAAAACCAGTTATTCAAGAAAATCGAGAAACGTTTTAATATCAAGCAACTTATCAAACAGGAGACTTGCATGTTACTATTTATGGTCTCTTGTTCGAATAATTTACCGGGCACAGGTGTTCAAAAATACAGATAATAGAACATATGTTAATATTGATGTTATCATAACATTTACTAAAATGTTAAATTAATTTCTGAAAAGTGGTTCGACCCCATCAGAAATAAAAGTCTTACATCACGGGTTACATATAAATGTACCTTATGAAATATATGGTCGCGATTTTCCCTTCAGACGACTCTAGAACGGAAAGACTCATTTGACTTACATTTCCTTGATAAATAGTTCCTGTGGTAATATTTCAAGATTAGACCTACCATCCATCAAAAGTCAAATTAAATTATGGATTTAATATTTCTGGCATACCACAATACAATTTTCAAGTTTTATATATATATGTGTATAACCATGTTGACTATAATACCATACATGTACGTGTGCATTCTTTGTAACTGAAATAGTCTTATTTCTTAAAATATGATCTAGCCGTCATCGACAATGTGTAACAATGGCAAATTATGAAATGCTTTTTTAAAGAATATTTCGTTTGAATATTCTAAAAACTTATAAATATGAAAAGCCTGCATAGATTAACATAAAATATGGGTTTTATCAGCTGAATAATGTTTACAACACGGCTATGAACAGTTTAGACTTTTTCACAGGGAATATCTTCGCCTTTCTCTCTCGTACATGTAATTATACTAAAATTATATATACCCATTAAACGTTGATATCCATGACAACGGTCTTGTGATCGGCGAAACGGTTCGCTGCTCACGTGATGTAAATGATGAGGCACGATAAAAAGATACCAACACAGGGGACTGAAAACCGGAAAATTCATCTTTATATCTTAAACATTATTTTTGAATGTGTATGTTTAGAAAAAAAGGTCAGTCAGGCAGGCTTACATTTGAATCTTACGAAAAACGCTCCCCAAAACACGAGAAAATTGAACATAAATGAAAATGAACACACTGCAAGAGATATAGGTTAACAATATATTTGTATCATGTTTAGGTCTTCAGATCTGTTTCCCCATTCCCACTAATGGCTGTTCAGGCTTTGAGTTGACATGTTATTGGACCGTGTTTCTAACGTCATTTACATTACGTTATCTCATTAAGATATAATACCGCCGAGTCAAGTGCCGTAATGGATGTGTCCTTGTGCAAGATACTTTACTACGATTGCTATAGAGAGCATGCGCGGCCCCCCCGCATGGTATTCAGTTAGGTTGTCGCGAGATACTGCAAATGATACCTCCTAAAATTACCATGGTTTTCATGAAGCGATAAACACAAATTATGGATCTAATTCTGCTTATCTCATCCATCATCGATCTGTTAATACTATATAGGAACTGAAACCAGTAACAATTTGATCTTAATTTCAAAATGAGTTTTTATATCTTTACTGAGTAACGCGATTACAAATATCTACAGGTATATCATAATTTTTAGTTTACTTGACAAAATATTATAACTTTGAAACCTTTTGGTGTATACGTTTTTTTTTAAGTTATGAATACAACACAGCGACATACTCGCTGTACCAGCTGTATTACAACATATCGTTATACGAGTAATAAATTCGTTAATCTTCCAGAAACAAATTAAGACCAAAAACAAGGCTTTTTAAATTTTGTATTTGACTCTAGTACTTGTGTGGTCTGTATATACTTAACTTGAATCAAAGTCACTAAGTACTTAGTCACACGCTTGATGGCGTTCGACCTGCTGGAGATAATTACAGGTAGATACAGGTATACACGTACACAGAATCACATCGTGACTACAGTTTCACTTTGTATACATGTAAAGTCTCACTGTAGTCACCATCCTTGGCATCCTCGACCCTAGGATCGATTTTCACCTGGGGCCGAGGATGCATAGTCTCGTTCCCGAGATTTATCTTAGCGTCATATTATTGCCATTTTGTTAGAATACTAACTTTATTTCAAGTTTTTTCTTAACTTGTTTTTTAAGAATCAAAATGATAACGAGAAAAATATTTTAAGTACATATACTGGATTTGGAGTGGGTGACGGTTCCACTTCGGGAACATGTATTTCCGATTATCACTTCCAGGACCTCTAGCCCAGCTTGGTTTTACACTTCTGAAAGTTTGAAACTGTCTTCCGTCCGGAACACATTGTTATGGAGAAGGCGGGCAGAGTCGATGGCTTATAACAGAGGTCCCGGTACCAGTACAGTATCAATAGATAAGACCGGGCCCCTGGTGTCTGTCCTTACGTCCCCGGGCCGCGTATGTTTGTCCTTACGTCTTCAATATTTTGCTCAGTCCGGTGGGTTTGAAATATTCATCTCGGATATCATTTTTGTTTAAATTGCAGATAGAAAGACAGATTCCTCTGGACTATATTTTTGCATAACAGCCCGTTTTCAGATCGAGTCTCTCGTGGAAAGAAAACTTACAACAGTGGTGTTATCCTATAAATATTTCACTGTTTTACAGCTATCACCCAAATTAGATAAACACATCAGCTTTAGAGACGCATAATTGGGTAGAGTTTGATGGTGTATATGTGTGAAAGAGTGGGTTTGAGGGTGTGGGGTTTGTTGTGAATATAATGTGCTAAATCAATGTTATAAACCTGTATTTCTACTCTAAAGGTAATTTTCTACACATGAACTATGCCCACGTGAGGCATGCCTTGAAATCAACCATTCGTGATTTCAATTTAATTAAAATTAATTATGCTGTCGTTTATTTTCCATTAGATCCCACGAAATGTGTCAGACCCGTACGAACATCTGTCCAGCCTCCGGGGTATGATAAATGACCCAGGACGGAGCGACTGACCAGCGAGGTACTAATCGTCCGGGGTCGCTCTGGGAAGTGGACCTCTATAATTTATACCCTAAATTAAACACCACCAATATGCACTCTGTCAAACTGAATGAAATTGATTTCAGACGAAGTTGAATTTACAAGTAAGCCGTACTCATTGGTCCAGAGTATTAAAATGCACCTGTCACAAATGATAACTTTTATAAAAAGTGAGAGTGTGAGGTAAGGAATTGAACAAGAAACAAAGGGTGTAAAAATGAATACCCACATCATCATCACATGTTATAGTGTAAAATGATTTTACATTAAAATATTTGTCAAACGACCGCACGTGTTGTTGAAATCTGCTGTGATGACATTTGATATTACAAATCCCCTGCACACGCGCACACATTGCCCGCTCGCAAAATATCACAACCAATTTCGTACACCGCCCTGTATTATTAAATGTCATTTAAAATGCACAGGATACATGTTGATATTTTTACCACAGGGACTTGTATTTTGCTTAATTAGGGATATTTAAGACCGTGATTAATTATACGGACCATGGAGTTTGGAATGTAAATTTGTATGTCAAGTGCCTGTGTCTGACAATGGTTAATCTGTCTACAGTGACATTACAAATGAAATGAAAGCAGTTCATTGTCAGTAACACATAGCAGGCATCGTGACGTGTTGTATAACTGTACTTTAAAACATGGACACCCTCACATACATTCAACAATGGTCACGTCACGAACCACAGGAAAGCAATAACGAGTTGACAAGTTTTTAAAATGTGAATTTTGAGAAATTGACCAACAGTTGGTGTTATGTTATCGAAACATTGAGATTTTACATGAATTTCGTAAAAATTCTAAAATCTATATTCTATTTCATCGAAAGAGCCTCTCGCGTGTAAATCTCGCGCTCTAGTGATAAAAGACTTTCTTGACAATGTATAACATATATGTGTATCAAATCATGAATCTTACCTTCTTCTGGGGTTCCGCCCTGTTCCGACTCCCCCGGAATTTCTTGCTCGAGGGAAAGCTCCTAGCTGTAGCATCCGAATCAATATCCGTAATACAGGGAGAAGGGGAAGGACAAGCACTACCCGGGAGGGACCGGGGAGAGGGGATCACTTCTCCCGTCCCTGGGGAACTGACAGATGTTGAGGCAGAATTTGCCCGGGATTTCAAATAATTTAAGGTTGTCGATTTCACATCACTGATTTCCGATGACGATTTGAGAATAGATAACTCGACGCCTGATTTAACTCGCGGTGAGAGACGATCGTCCATGACTAACGCTGAACCCAATCTGTTTACATCTTGTACAACACCTGTTTTCCATTTCACAGACGATGTCGATTTCGTCGATATATCAGACGTATCAGAACTTTTCCTGCTTAAATTATTAAAACCTTTCAATTTTTTAGGAGATTTGAATGTATCCAATTTCGGAGGAGAGCTCGTGCGTAACCTATAAATATCCCCACTTGTTACTGTTACACTTCGAATTTCGGACATCATGTTGATAGCCGGGTAGTGACCACCATCATAATTGGCCGCATCTGTATATATCCTCTTCTTTGTCCTTGTGTTACATAGAAATACACTAAGATGACCACTGTCCATCCATTTTACCTGTTACTCCAATGAAAGGCTTTTCATGTTTGTAAAAAAGAAACCCAGACAAGCCAGGTATAAGTTGGTGTTTACACGCTAACACCAGTGGTACACTGACACTTTGACCATCGCGCCAAATGTTACAAAGTGATGGTGTGATGGTCAATACTCAGACTAGCCCCCTAGGGAGTTACAAGCTCCAGTATACACATACGAACGGGGCTGAAATGTGATAGGACCATGTGTCATTAACCACTGCACTGACCCGTCGATAAAGTTTCCCCACCACGTACTGGTGTACTAAAACTGACATCAGCCTGTTGTCATTATCACTGGGTGGAACAGTAACATTACGGGTGTAGAGAGGCTCCTTACGGGGGATCTCAGGTGTGTCAAACAATGTTGTTATTCTATTACGGTAAACAATCGTGGGGCACCAGATGGGGAATACGATAGGATAAAAACTCAATTATCGTCCGAGTTCATATAACCGTAATAAATTCATGTTTAATAGTTTTCAATAAATGAATTTATTTTTTGCTGGTATGGCTTTTATTTTCATAAATTAGTATTTTTCTGAATTATTACGGTGCCATCTAACTATTTCATAAAGATAAAGATTAGGGCACACAGGGGAAATTAAGTGCTGCATAGCAATCGTTCAGTATAAGAGGCACCCAACGGGGTGTTCATATACAACAATAGAAATTTAAAAAATACCTACGGGCGTTTTAAATGAATTGATTTATCAAGCATGTCGAAAAATGATATTTGAATCGATAAAGCTTTAGTATTTTTAAGACGTGTACTTCACAATAACCATAAAACAAATGGTTACAAAGGTAAAAATCAATATATTATTAAATATTTATAACGGGTTGGCAATGTCTTAGGCTTCTAGACGATAAAACAGTTGATGATCATACAACCTGTTCCCATCCGTCCCTTTCTCCAAACACTAGAAACTATTTGGATAAAGAGGGATTTTCTTTAAGACGTTATCAGTAGTTTAGATATATCCCGGATTAACGGCATCGGTTTTACTATGGCATGTCGTGTATATAATAGGCTTACTTCGGCTTTCATAAAATAGTTCAATCGCATACCTGATGTACGGGGAGTCCCGATTTACACAAAATCCTTTATACTGTTTACACTTCTCCAACTTACACCGAAAAGTGTTGTTTAACGGGAATTAAATATACAAGCTTCCAATTGACGCAAAATTCTGTGTGTGTGTGTTTTTTTTTTTTTTAATATGATGAACGGGTGATAATTTACATGAAATCCGCGAGGTTTACAAGAAAACTTGACGCGCGGGGTCTCGGCTTAAACAAGAACATGTTATTCCAAAATCTGATGTGAAAAAAAAAGCAAAAGTATTTTGCTGACATTAAAATTTAAACACCTCTGTCTCAATGTAAACAAAATCTTTACATTGAAACATGATATAGACAATATCGTTTTATATTAATGATCTCACGATATGTCATCTTACAAGGAAACATATGGCTGAAACTGTATAGTATTCTACATTTCAATCTTACATACTGTCTCAACACTACTGGTGTCATCTACAGTCTATGAAGTCTACGATGGATATTAAAAGTGACTCAAGATGAATAATAATAATAAACAGACAAGGAAGAACCAACTGAAGAAAACTGTTTGTCGTGAACCAAATGGGATACGATGCAATGCAGGTATATAAGGAAGTTTCAAGGTTATCTTCAATTGTTTAAAATATACAGCATAGGCAAATAGTCACATATTAATCTATTTATCATGTTTTGTTTGTTTGTTTTTTTTTTTTTTTATTTATTTATTTTGTTTTTCATTTTTATTAAAAAAACGGAGAAGAAGAAATGACATGTACACACTTTTCACTGATGTCAGTTGATAAGCAATGGACATTTATGGAAATTTTCTTCGTCAATCACATTCAAACATGTTCAGCCACATGTAGTGACAACTTCAGAAGAACTAAAGACTTATCTCCCTTTATCTGATGAAACAGCTAGGGTGTTAGTATATCGTATAGCGACTCTCTCTGCTGAAACAATACAAAATAAAACCAGTATACCACGAACTTACAAATATGAAGAAACCCTTTTACAATTCATTAAGGTTTACATGCAATCTGACCGGAAGTGGATACACATTACCAGTAAGCTAGCATCACCTGTGACAGAAACTTGATGTAAACTGACATCACATGCGACAGAAACCTGATTTAAACTGGCAACACCTGAGACAGAAACCTCATTCAAACTGACATCACATGTGACAGAAATCTGATTTAAACTGACATGACCTATGGCAGAAACCCGATTCAAACTGACATCACCTTTGATAGAAGCCTCATTTAAAATTTGATCACCTGTGACAGAAACCCGATTTAATATGACATCACCTGAGACAGAAACCTGATTTTAACTGACAACAGGTGAGACAGAAACCTCATTCAAACTGACATCACGTGAGACAGAAACCTGATTTAACCTGACAACACCTGTGACAGAAACCTGATTTAATATGACACCACATGAGACAGAAACCTTATTTAAACTAGCAACACCTGAGACACAAACCTCATTCAAACTGACATCATCTGCTACAGAAACCTCATTTAAACTGAGATCACATGTGACAGAAACCAGATTTAAACTGACATCACCTGAGACAGAAACCTGATTTAAACTGACATCACGTAAGACAGAAACCTGATTTAATATGACACCACATGGGACAGAAACCTTATTTAAACTAGCAACACCTGAGACACAAACCTCATTAAAACTGACATAATCTGCTACAGAAACCTCATTTAAACTGAGATCACATGTGACAGAAACCTCATTTAAACTGAGATCACATGTGACAGAAACCAGATTTAAACTGACATCACCTGAGACAGAAACCTGATTTAAACTGACATCACGTGAGACAGAAACCTGATTTAACCTGACAACACCTGTGACAAAAACCTGATTTAATATGACACCACATGGGACAGAAACCTTATTTAAACTAGCAACACCTGAGACACAAACCCCATTAAAACTGACATAATCTGCTACAGAAAACTCATTTAAACTGAGATCACATGTGACAGAAACTGAATTTAAATTGACGTGACATGTGACAGAAACCAGATTTAAACTGACATCACCTGAGACAGAAACCTGATTTAAACCGACATCACCCGTGACAGAAACCTTATTTAAACTGGCAAAAACCTGTGACAGAAACCTGATTTAAACTGACATCAACTGTGACAGAAACCTCATTTTACCTGACATCACCTATGACAGAAACCTGATTTAAACTGACATCATCTTTGACAGAAACCTGACTTAACCTGACATCAGTTTATCAAACCTAACATCACCATAGAAGTTACCAATAGGAAAACATGACGTTAGTAAAAAGAATCATTACCGATGACAATAACATTTCCCTTCAGTAATACTTTGTGACTACGTAAATACTGCAAATCGTCCGAGACATAATTCAACGATAAACTTGGAAATATGCAGAAATGACATTTGGTTCACAGTATGTCGATAGTTTATTTTTCAATACCGGAAAGTATTATTTGTTTTACATACGTGTCTGGTAACAAAAACAACAAGAAAATGCCAACATGTGTACCATAGAGACGTGAAATTGAACTGTAGGTAACCCGTCGAAACATTAAGACATGTGAAACACAATGTTTCGAAGAGATATGTATTCGAGTTTCCAATATAAGTCGAAGCTGAGGAAACCACGTGCTGAGGTTTGGGGTCAGTGGGTCGAATAGCGGTACTGACAATGTGAAAGTTGAATGAAAGAGCATTGTGGGAAAAAAACGAAACGTAAATATCGCGTAGTAAATTTACTCACTTCGCCGTGAAACTTTATTCATCAGCTACAAGCAATAACATGTCATTCATATCGCAGTCAACGTATCCGTTTTGTTACTTGGGATTATTCGGTACATTCTGTCAACTTCAAACGCGCCACAACCTGGCGTTTATCAGGCTTTTGTTAAAATACTGCACGCAAAGGTGTTAGGTCAGTGAATTTTGGCGGGTAATTTCTGCATGCTAATTGGTCACATGACGGCCCCGTTTATGCATATGCAAAAAGCTGACGAATTTTAAGCGAATAATTCGCATTAAACGATTCACAAACGTTCAAAATAAATTAAACAAACTAAATGCCACGATGCTGAAAATGTTTATGTGATAATAAGACACTGTTAAGGTTCCATTCAAAAACTTTAGAAGTTGGGCACAGCTAAAAATATCGGTCACTGCTTCGATGTACCGCCATCTTTCTATCTCGGGATCCACAAACATGGCGCGGTTGAGATTTCCCGGTCGTCCTGGATGCAGATTTGATCGTATGGGCGTCCGATACGGCGCCGACGAAGCAAAAAATGTCAACGATCCAACATTGGTTCTTGTGGCTAGCATTCACAGAGGTTTGCGGTTGTTCCGTGAATTGTTTGGAGAGTCAGATGAGGTAAGAAATTGTAACATCGGAACGCTTCGTCAAAATGGCCGCCATCGCGAAAATTCCGATATGGGTTTATAGATTTTTTTGCAGGATTCGTAATATTAACGGCTTGATTGTGCATCAAATTGCGATTCTCGAGTAGAATGGTCTTTAATGTGAATGTGTATACGTGGCAGGTGACACTTTGGTCATGATTTATAGTTATTTTGGGATCTGTCTTTACTTGTTGATCGTCTCTCCTAGCCCAAACACAGACGAGTGAGGTTTTCATTTGTGTTTGTCTATTAATCTCTGACTTGGAAACAGTTTTGAATGCTGCGTCAACATTGCTCACACAAGGAACATAAAAAGATCCATTCAACACCAACCGTTGTTGTTGTCATTTTCAGAAATGGGGGCTTTTGGTATGGATTGAAATCCATCGACCTAGAATAGGACAAGGAAGGAGTCACATTTTTTATTTCATGTCACGTTTGTAGACACTAAACCTGTAAATAACAAACACACTTTCTGATGATTAACAAGCAAAGCAACTACAACTATCTAAGTCAACCTAGTTTGTTGATAGTATAAATGCTATTGATCAGGAAGTTTATGAACGTCAACAGGGTTTGGAGGAATAAATACAATTCTGTTATGCTTTACTAGTTTGTAATCAAGTTCATTTGGGCTACTAGATCAATCTATATCAGGTTAAATTTGTTGACTTTCTATATTCAACAGTTTCAGATATGCAGTAAGGTATGAGGACACGCATTTCTGTTCTTACCAATGGCATGGTAAAATGAAGAAAAAAAAACCCAGTGGCTGTAGATATCCTATTCATACTTAATTTTTATCTCTAGTTGGGCAGTCTGTACCCACAAACTGTCAGTCAAGTTTGAACTTGATATACAAAGGCATTTGCTGCCTTGAGGGACCATTTTCACATGTAACTGTAAGCTAATTGTTGAAATCAGTGCCTTAGGTGTCTTAAAGTCTGTGGCAGAATGTTTGCACTGTTTGTCTGGAAAATTAATACACATCACTTTGATTAAAGATGTGTTGTATAAAAAAAAAAAACCAGATGTTGAAGGTTGAAGTGAACATACAGAATAAACACCTGCCCAGACTGCCCTACATAACACTATCACTGATATCATAGCTGATACAAAACGATAGGTTTTCCTGAAATTGATATCAATTTCTTTCCCATGGAAATCTTTTTTTTTAATGACTTATCTTTATTTTCATGTAATATGCATATGTCATATACATTGTATGACATAATTGTTATAAAACTATTATGACATGTCATCCAGAATGAATTTCTGCCTTGATAATGTGAAGATAAAGTTTGAATTTAATTAAAATCATGCGATGAATAGAATATCACACTTGGATCCATGTCATTCATTACTGATCAATCAAACTTCAAAAATTGAGTCTGTAAAATCATTCATTACATGCTTTAAAACATTAATATTTTTATCATCAACTATTAATACATAAGTGAATAAGAAAATGTTTTCCATTGTATCCTATTTAGAGGGAATTACTCGACGGGTATGAGTTTAGAATTAATGTTTTTGTTGCATCAATTATGCATGATTGAGAAGGAAAGTTTTTTTTCCATGCAGTTAATGATAATTGTCACTCCCATAATATGAAATAAGATGGAGTATAAACACCTACTACTCTACTTATGTGATTGTGTAAACTCTTTCTGTTGTGACTGTAGAGATACTTTTTTAGGTATGAATAGACAGGGCTCTCACACCCCATTTTGGGACTGTGGCCCGGGGCCCTTAGCATTGGGAAAAATAATGGTGTTTTCCTTATAATTGGGAGAACTTGGGGTCTAAATTGGGAAAAAAAGATACTGTTTTGCATTGGGAATGGGGCCGATCAAATCTGGCAGATCAAGAGCCCTGATAGATGAAAATGAGTCAGAAGCACTAAATATGATTCCGTATTTTCAGGCCTAGAAAATTATTGGAATTATTTAGGATACAGTTTTTTAGGCATGTTAATTTCTGTGAAGTAGAGATAATACTTCAATCAGGGAATACTTGTTATCAGATAATGAATGATTTCATGGTATATTACCTAATCATTGGAGAAAAAAATGACCCATCATCGCATTTGGAATTTCCATATGGCTCCTTCAACCATAAATTGGAGGTAAATATTCATTCTTGTTAGACAAATATTGAAATGACATTTGCATCAAGATGTGTGTAAATATTGATATTTTACTGTAAATCTTTTATGAGATATTTATCTATCAACATTTTGCTTTCCTCCACTTCTCCATGCACGCAGCCATGCTGTGACATCTGTTGTTTGCGGGTTTAACATCAAGAAATTGGTCATTAATTTCAAACTTGTCTTGTCTGGAGTTTCCTTATGTGAGGGAAATGAACTTTATTGACATGATGTTGTTTTTAAGCATTTGATACCATTAAAATGTAATTTTGAAATTCATTAATGATTTTTTCCCCCAGATTTTAGTGTGAATGATAAAAGAGAAATTTTCAATCAAGAATGTTTCTCTCAGGTGGTTTCAAAGCTGTTAACAAGTTTATTTTGTCATTTTGCAGGAAGAAGAATTTGAAGGTTTCACTCAAAAAGATGTACAAAAATCAGAAAGGAAGCTTAAGGCCATGCTGGCGCAATCTGAAGACTCGTCGGAAAAAGTCCCATCTGGTAAACCTGTTGGAAAAAGACTTGCTAAAATCAAGGATACCCTGACAGCTGCTGATCGTGGTCGTGGTGTCAGAAAATCTTACACAGAGCTTCTGAAACATGGCATTGTGAAACCCGCTAAGACATCCTTAATGAAACAAGCTAGGGAGGAAACTAAGAAATCACTCAAAATTAAATTGAATGTGAAAAAGGAAAAATCCGCATTAGTGAGTTCAAGTTTTCCTGCGGTAACCCGTAAATCTCTGGACAAAAAAAGTGTAAAGTTTGATTTGACTCCAAAAGGTCAAGGTAAACGAAAATCTGTTGAGGTGGATGTGAAAAAAACTATAGGAGTCAGTGTTAAGCAGAAGAAGGGAAATAAATGCCCTGAAAAGACAGACGAAGAAACTCCACAATATACCAAGAAAAAAGTAAAGGAGAGAGATAAACTGTCTCCAGGTCAGGGATTAAAAGGGGTCAAAGGTCAACAAAACTTGGTCAAACAGTTGCTTCAGAAAGCACGTAAAGGTCAACAGGCAGTTAAAGTGCAGGGAAAGATGAAATCTCCAGTCACTAGCCCCAAAAGCCCTAGGGGTCCATCGCATCCAAAGAAACAGTTTGTTCTACCAACTCAAAGTTCAAGGTCGTCCAGAGTTATTATTCCAAACAAGAGATTTCTAGAACAAGATGATTTTAATCAAATAATGACCAAGAGGTCACGTGTAGAAGAAAGTACATTATCACCAAGAACAGAAACATTTTCTACTTCTACTACTACTACTACTACTAGTACTAGTCCTCGAGTAAAAATACCAGACAAGTCAAAGGTCAAGGCTGAGCAGCTTACATCACCACAGCTGACCAGTCTGTCACAAGGACCAGCCGTCCCACCACTTCCTCCTGGTCATCTATTTGACCCAGTGGAAGGTACGTGTGTGATCTGGTACAGAGGTAAACAATGATTGTTTATAAGTGTATGCTGATAGATTTCCATATATTCTAACCAGAACAAAAAATCCAGAATTTTTCCATGTTTCTAGGCAAGACATTTTCTAGTATATATTCCAATGTCTTACCATGATAGTCATTTATTATAAATTCAATCTGTTTCAGCAGGACAGACTCTGTCGCTGTATGACCAACCATTAATAGTTGAAGGAAAACGAGCCAGAAAGCCCAGTCTGAAGGTCCGCATTAAACTCACGGACGAACGCATCCAAGCCTTCCAAGTGAAATCGTTTGAGAAAAAACTTCAGGCACGTAAAAATATTGAGGCTGAGAAAGCTGCAGTAGGAAGCATGGCTGGGTCTAAGAAAGTACATCTCACGCCATCAAAGCTGGCAGTGACTGTAACATCTCCATCAAAACTACCAACATCTCCAATATTTGCTCCACCAAAATTTGGTGTTTCTGGAAAAAGTGCTTTGTCAGAAAGACAGAGGCTGGAAGCACTGGAAAAAGAGGCACTGGCCACGCGTCGCAAAGGACACAACATCTTAAGGAAGGCCAAACTCCAGCTGAGTCGATCTGCCCTCAACAGGTCCAAGGCAGACTTTGCTCGAACTCTCAAGAAGGTTAGCACATATATAAAATGAAGCCAAAAACACATTATGATGTAAATCATGGAGTTGAAAGTTCAATATTTTGTATTAGATCAATGTTCAATAGCCAAAAGATTTTAACAGGATTTAACATTTTGGTGTTTATTAGAATTGTGACTTCTGTGTAATAAAAACAAATCCATAGCTAACTGACAAGGCTAGTTTTCTGTTAATTACAAATAACTTAAAATGAAATCAGTCAGCAGAAAGCCAAGGTTTTATGGATAGTGTTCGTAGTCCACTACACAAAAGTTTATCTACCAGGCTTCAGATAATGCGTAACACACAGAGGTATTATGTAAGTTAGGTCATGTCTGTTTTTACCTTGATTTCTTAATTTTGTTTTCACTTATTTTTCCGCAATCTGTCACCTGCAGGAAATAAAAATGGAAGCAAAGCTGGAGAAAATGAGGCTGAAGCAAGGTTCTGCTATTGGGGGTTTCAGCAAGCTGTCTGGCTATTCAACATTTGCAGGTGTAGCAAAGAGCTACATGGATGCCAAAGATGAACAACCAGGGCCAGAGGGGCATGAAACAGAGTCAGGTAAGTGGTAAAGGTAAAACTCTGCTCCAGGGAGTAAGGGGATGGGGTCAGAGTTAAGCCCCTTTTACTGACTGCTCCAGGGAGTAAGGGGGTGGGGTCAGAGTTAAGCCCCTTTTACTGACTGCTCCAGGGAGTAAGGGGGTGGGGTCAGAGTTAAGCCCCTTTTACTGAAAGCCCAGTTTAGGAACTGGAAGATGGGCAGGTAAGTGGAAGGATGAATCCTAGCCAAAGGGACAAGGAGGGGGAGGGCAGATTGGCAGAGTGAGGAAAGTGGTAAGATAAACCACAACCAAAGGGACTAGGAGGGTGGCAAGAGGACAGAGTGAGGTAGGTGGTAAGGTAAGCCACAACCAAAGGGACTAGGAGGGTGGCAACAGGACAGAGTGAGGTAGGTGGTAAGGTAAGCCACAACCAAAGGGACTAGGAGGGTGGCAACAGGACAGAGTGAGGTAGGTGGTAAGGTAAGCCATAGCTCCATTATTATTGAGGGCAGAGTTTAGGAGGAACTTGAGCCCCAGGGACTGGTGGAAGGGTGTGGGATGGGAACAGAGACCAAGTAAGGCAGAGTCCGATAGATAGGACAGTTGACAAGTAGGGAAGTGACGAGAATTACTCTTGCTCTACAGATTAGTGGATGGGATGGATATTTGTTCTGGTTTTGTCCCATAGAGACGGTTTTTGTTAAGGTAAATGAAAAAGGAAAAACGATGTAATGAGAAAGTTGTATTAAATTTTTTTTCCAATGGCAAGACTTGAAATACTTGTTTACCTAAACATGATGTTGTATTTAAACATCGGTAGGAGAGAAAATTAGAGGGAGAGAATAATTACAATGTTGAAACTTTGGATTTTAGAATCTTGATGGGATTAAAACAAATTTACTGTTATGCTTGTAAAGGCAGATATCCTGTTTTTGATATCTAAATAGACGAATGTCTTATTTTTCTACCAGGAATGTTGGACACTTCACAAGAGGGCGTGGTTTGTGCAGTGTGTAAGGATTCCAATCTTCCTCCGGTGCGACGTCGGAACTACTACGGTGTCCCTTGCTGTGATGGTTGTCGAAGGTTTTACAGAGTTCATATGAAACGTGTTAAAGAGAAAGAGTTTTTCTGCAACGGTAAAAAAGAATCTTTTATGATAGATCTGTATTTTGTCTAATTAGAAAGCTATGCATTTATACATAAAACATGAGGGTTGAGCTTAAGAAAACCTAAATTTAAATCTCTGTGTGATATGTGTAGAGAAATGAAACTGAAGTATATAATCTGTAAACACCACTTGCAATAAAAGAAAAATGAAATAAATTTCATGTGCATTACCAAGCTGCTGGGAATATTTTTATTCTTTACATCCAATATATCTAGCAGAGAGTGATTATTCTGAACATTGTATTGATGGACCAGAGAAGTAGAAAACGTTTTTAATGGCTTAAGTTAGGCTCACCTGGACTTTTTCCGAGGAGAAAGGCTAAAGGTGTGGTTATAGGTCTGGGTATATGAGACAGATTCAACAGGAAACTGTAAAACACATCTGATACTGTTTAATATCCTCTATTGTCACGATCAAATTTCCACTTGTGACGTCAGTTATTCTGGAATTTAATAGAAAACTGAAACTGTCGCCTACTGTTTGATAAGTTATTCTAAAATGTCTGCTAATATAATCTTCTTATAACAACAGTCTTATTTGGTGAAAGAATTCATATTGTTAAATGTTGGTTTTGCTGGGGCTTGCCTTTCTTTCAGTTTCATTCATAGTTATCCCGACCTAAAACATTTGGCCTGAAGTATTCTGATTAGCAGGAGAAGACTATTGTTATAGTGTCAGTGTATATTTGATTTCATGTGTTATTGTAGGAAACTGTAGCACGGATATACGACGATGCGTTTTTTGTCGATATCTGCGATGCCAGGAAGTGTTCCCTGCAGAGGACAAACTCAAACCATTGAAGGAATCACCAACAAAGAAAGTTGTCCCTGAAGACTCGATGGAGGACACAGGTAACTAACACAATGGACAGAAGATTCTTGTGTTTTTGATTCTCAATACTAATGGGAAATTACTGTTATATAATCTTGAAAGAATTCAGATGTAACAACCTGTATATGACTGTCACTATCCTGTGTGGACATTTTATATTTTGTTTTAAACTACACACCTCACCTAAAATATCTGGTAGAGAACTACATACCTCACATAAGACATTTCATATATAGCTACACACCTTTCCTAAGATATTTCGTATGGAACTACACACCACATATAAGATATTTTGTTATAGAAGCTACACATCTCACAAAGATGTTTCATATAGAACTACACACCTTGCCTATGATATTTCGTATAAAAGTACACACCTTGCCTGAGATATTTCGTATAGAAATGCACACCTCACTGAAAATATTTTGTATAGAACCACTCACACCGAAAATATTTTGTATATAGCTACACATCTTGCCTAGGATATTTCATATAGAGCTACACACCTCACATAAGATATTTCTTATAGAACTACACACCTCACAGAAGATATTTCGTATAGAACTTCACACCTCACAGAAGATATTTTGTAAAGAACCACTCACCTCACCTGAAATATTTTGTATATAGCTACACATCTTGCCTAGGATATTTCATATAGAACTACACACCTCACATAAGATATTTCTTATAGAACTTCACACCTCACAGAAGATATTTCTTATAGAACTACACACCTCACATAAGATATTTCTTATAGAACTACACACCTCACATAAGATATTTCTTATAGAACTTCACACCTCACAGAAGATATTTTGTATATAGCTACACACCTCACAGAAGATATTTCGTATATAGCTACACACCTCACATAAGATATTTCTTATAGAACTTCACACCTCACAGAAGATATTTTGTATATAGCTACACACATCACAGAAGATATTTTGTATAGAACTTCACACCTCACAGATGATATTTCGTATATAGCTACACACCTCACATAAGATATTTCTTATAGAACTTCACACCTCTCAGAAGATATTTCGTATATAGCTACACACCTCTCAGAAGATATTTCGTATATAGCTACACACCTAACATAAGATATTTCTTATAGAACTTCACACCTCACAGAAGATATTTCGTATATAGCTACACACCTCACAGAAGATATTTCGTATATAGCTACACACCTCACAGAAGATATTTTGTAAAGAACCACTCACCTCACCTGAAATATTTTGTATATAGCTACACATCTTCCTAGGATATTTATATAGAACTACACACCTCACATAAGATATTTCTTCACACCTCACAGAAGATATTTTGTATATAGCTACACACCTCACAGAAGATATTTCGTATATAGCTACACACCTCACAGAAGATATTTCGTATAGAACTTCACACCTCACAGAAGATATTTCGTATATAGCTACACACCTCACATAAGATATTTCTTATAGAACTTCACACCTCACAGAAGATATTTCGTATATAGCTACACACCTCACATAAGATATTTCTTATAGAACTTCACACCTCACAGAAGATATTTCGTATATAGCTACACACCTCACAAAAGATATTTCGTATATAGCTACACACCTCACAGAAGATATTTTGTAAAGAACCACTCACCTCACCTGAAATATTTTGTATATAGCTACACATCTTGCCTAGGATATTTCATATAGAACTACACACCTCACATAAGATATTTCTTATAGAACTTCACACCTCTCAGAAGACATTTTGTATATAGCTACACACCTCTCAGAAGATATTTCGTATATAGCTACACACCTCACATAAGATATTTCTTACAGAACTTCACACCTCACAGAAGATATTTCTTATAGAACTTAACACCTCACAGAAGATATTTCTTATAGAACTACACACCTCACATAAGATATTTCTTATAGAACTTTACACCTCACATAAGATATTTCTTATAGAACTTCACAACTCACAGAAGATATTTCTTATAGAACTTCACACCTCACAGAAGATATTTTGTATAGAACCAGTCACCTCACATAGATGTTTCATATCAAATTACACATCTTGCCTATGATATTTTGTATAAAACTACACACTCACATGAGATAATTTGTACAGAAATACATTCCTCACCTAAGATATTTTGCTGTTTTTGTTACAGAGGGCCTAATGTCGCCACCAAGAACGATACCTGTGACTGTACAGACTCCAGGTGAATCAGAGGAAGGTACATCAACAGCAGTGGGCCCCATAACTAGCTCACCAGAGAGTGTTGCCTCATCACCAGCATCTGAGGGACGTGGGCCCCGCATCAAGCATGTGTGTAGGAAAGCAGCTGTTGTATTAGGGAAACCGGTGGCCAAGTTCCCTCAGACCCCTCCACAGTCATCCCTGGAGATCACCCTAAGTGCCTTACCCCGAGGAGAGAAAGTCAAACTGTGGAAAAAAGAGGAGGAAACAAAAGCTGGTACGTTACATGTAATTGTGTCTTTTTTATATTAAATGGAGTCTCCCTGTATGGTTTGAATGGACTTAGTGAAAAAAATGAAAAAAAAATTAAAAAAAAAGAGGCGACATCGAGTCCTAACAAGACTGTTAGTTAGTTATCAACAAGATTTATCTAACCATATTTTGCATCCTGAACATCATATTAAAAGATGATGTTTCCCCTGTGATAATAATTACTTATTTTATGTTTGTAGGATTGTCCGATGATGAACGACCACTAGATGAGATTATACAGCAATCAGAAGACAATGTTTGTACAGTTAAGAGATCTCCACATAAGTCTCCAGCCTTAGGTCGATTGATCCCAGGGTCTCGTGGCAGACTTACTGTCCGTAGACGAAAACTTAGATGTAAGAAGTGCCCTGGGTGTCTCGCTAAGGATTGTGGCAAGTGTATCTATTGTCAGTAAGTAAAACACAACATTTACAATTTTATTTTATTTTTTACGTTGAGATGCTTTATGGAATGATATTTTTTCATTTGGAATATGACAACAGGAAAGCCTTTTCCTGAAAGAAATCCCATATAGAATAAAGCTAGAATTATGAAATATATGCTCAGCATGACTTAGGTCGTCAGTTCCTCAAAATAATTAGACAATGATCAGAAATATGTGTTTGCCTGACTGTGACCCCTATATGTAATCAACATCTTGATTTTTGGTCATTTAAGTCTTCACAGGTCTAGGTTTAAATGTCATGGTTTTGATTCAGGGACAAGCCTAAATTTGGAGGTCGTGGAGTCATGAAGCAGGCTTGTGTGTGAGTACAACTTTTATTGGATATATATTGAAGTTTGATGAAATGAAAATATTGTCCAGAGCTGGCTACAAGCACTGTACATAGAAACTTTCAACACAGCCAAAGTCTCGCCCATTTTGCCCTTTTGTCAAAAGATGAAAATAACATGGCAGCCAAGCTTCAACATTTAAGCTGTATAGTGTGTTATGCCTTTAGTGTGAATATAACACTGGACAAATATTTTGGTGGAAGGGCAAAAATAACAGCAGAACAAATCTGTAGGGAAAAGGACTATACAGAAATCAGATTTACATTTAGTCCATCTCTTCCTTCTTGCATTTGAAAGCTTCTCTCTGAAATTGAGCATCTTAGATTTATTTTGAGTGTCCATGGTTACTTACATAAACAAGTGTTCAAGCAATTTACCCCATCTATAATGTTTAACAAGACATGGATAAAATGGTGAATGTTATATAAATATCCTGGACGTATATATTCTGATGTCATGTAAATTAGAGTATAGACTTCTGTTTGACCGTTTGTCAGTTATAAGAGAAATATCAATTAAAAAATTGTATAGATAATGATTTGATAAAGATAGCTTGTAATTATTAACATTATAAAAATTGGGGCCAGACAGGCCTGTTATTGGTTGTTTAGGTTAGATGTAGTAGGATTTATACGTCACTCTTTGGAGGACAGCTCCAGTTAGTGGAAAAAGGAATGTATTCATGCCTGTTTTAGTCATGTATTCATTATAGAATTATGGACGATATGTAATTACGTAAATTGTTCTTGCTTGATAGAGACAGGAAATGCTCATTTCCACGATACTCACGGGCAGCCACTGCAGCCTTCATTAAACCAAAGGATCCACCTCCAGAGGGGGAGTCATGTGACCAGGGATGTGACACATCAATGGAGATATCAGAACCATCTGATCCTTCCCAGAATTCCACAGGATGTAGTAATATCAATCCAAATAACAAGAATGGAAACGGAACAAGCTCCAGCATGAACCTGATCAGAAGGATGGTGCTGCAGAGTCAGGGAAATGCTCGTCCTGAAGCAGGAGTTAAACATGCGGGAGAATCAGAAGCAGGAATAAGAACCCCGGCAAATATCAGTAGACAACTACTGCCTCACTTTAGTGGAGGCTTATCTCGGGAAAACTTGTCACAAAAATCTGGACGTCAAAGCCCTTTGGTGCCACCATATCGTTCTGGAGATCCTCAAAAGAAGCCGGGGCTCGGAGTTTTGTCACCGAAGAAAATGCCGAAAGGAAAGGATCGGGTATGTCTTGATGAAGATTAGAATTTATCACAGTGTAAACCAACACAAAGATCTGTTGTAAATCACTTAATCACTCCCACTAAGTTTTGATGGATTAAAAATTGAGATAAAAATTGTTGAAAGAAAATTTTTATTATTTTTTTTGTCTTAGTCAGTATATGGTGCCAAAATTTTTGAATTTAAAAGAAAATTTTAAAAGCAATTTTTACCAAACTAATTTCAGTGATCAGCAACAAAATTTAAATGTTGTAAGAAAGTGATGTACATTTGTATATTTTGCTTGGCCTGAATATGAAGCCGATTGCTCACTGGTCTAAACAATAGTAAATTTCACAAACCTTACATTTGACTTTAAAAATCTATAGAGATGTAGGAGTAGTTTATAATATTTAATAATTATCTTGTTTCTGTTAACGTTGGTGAAAATAAGATTTATCACAAACTGTTACATTTTTGCTAATGTTGTTTGCCATGAGCTTTAAAGTTATTAATATTGCTTGTTGTAGAATTTGACAGTGTTGCGATCAGAGCACTGTGTTCTCCAGCCACTGGCATCCACTCTGAGACACTGGCCAGCACTCGGTGCTCACGGTAACTATCGAATCAAGGCAGAATTTAAGGTAAGAGAAATAAAGAGTAATCCTTTCTTTGAGTAGAAATGTTTTGTCGCCAGGAACTGGTATTTTGGAGTTTTAGGGATTAATTAAGAATTTGGTGAGTGAGAATACTTACCAATGTTTAAATCTTTTACTGTTTAAAGCTGAACTGTAGTAGGTACATAAATTAGAAATAAATGCAGTTCCGGTAAGTCTAGAATATCACATATATGTTACATTTGGGATGGGAATACATGCTTATTCAGTCACAGACATTTTTTATCACAGGAAGAATGGGACAAGTTTAGAGAGTCATGAAAATAAATTCCTTCATAAGGCAACGAAAGGATGGATGGAACATTGGGTAACAGGATGAGGTTGAAAGTCTTCTTAGTAAAAGTGATATTGTGTGTAACAGATATAGCAGGGAGAGGTAAGGAGAAATTATTCATGCATGAGTGACAGATATTTTTTCTTCTTATAGGAGAACTACGATATTGATAAGGCCTGGCTGTCTGGTGTCCCATTGACTATGTCAGGGCCTCTTTGTGTCCGCACAATCTGTTACCTGTGTGGTAGTGCTGGTAAATTTGATGTAAGTATAGAATATACCTTCCAAATATTTATCGTATATATTTGATTTTATATGTCAAGTCTTGTGTAAATTTCCAGTCGCTCCAAGATAGTTATCTTCTGTGTGTTGATAAAGTAGAATTAACATTGGACAAACATCCAGATTACAACAATCTTACATCTTCTGCAGTGATCTGAATCCTTTTGATTGATACTGAATTCTCTTATGGATGGCTTAATTTTTATTTGAAAACAAATTTAAACTGAATGTATTTCCTTGCGTTCTTGCAAAATAATATGTATTACAACACCTGAAACTTTGAAAATTATGTTTGGTATCTGTATTTTGAATTAAAGCAGAATCATTGACACCTTTGAAGCCCTCCTCCATTTCCAAGACAAACAAAGCTGCTTTATAATTCTTTAATTGTGACTTTGTTTTCAGTTTGTGTTCTGTAATGTCTGTTGTGAACCGTTCCATGAGTTTTGTCTGGACGAGGATGAACGTCCGACAGAAGATAATCGAGAAAACTGGTGCTGCCATCGTTGTCAATTCTGCCATGTGTGTGGGGAACAGTATAATGTAAGTTGTCTCCCTTGAACATTATCGAAAGACTTGAAGTAAATTTGATGTTTGAGGTATTGATATGCACGTGACAGAATTCAATGAAGAAAGAGTATGAGAAGTTTATCACACCTGTATAATTCTGAAAAATAAACTAACTAAATTTTCCAAAATTATTTATGATCAACGAGAGTAAAAACATACATGGTAGAACTACCGATACAGAAATAAATGGAATAACTGTTTCAGAATCCTTGAAATTTTCATCTGTTTGTTACATATAGGAACTGTGGACCAAATTTTCATTGACGTTGATATTTGGAGTAATCCATGATGGTGATTGGTTTTATTACGAACATGTTTTATTACGAACATGTTTTATATTTTGTAATGTACAGCTCCTGCGTTGTGATAAGTGTCAGAATACATACCATCCCGAGTGCCTTGGACCAAACTATCCCACAAAACCCTCCAAGAAAAAGAAGATCTGGGTATGTACTTTATGTGTAGATATTAAGACTGGTTCTGATATTTAACTAAATACTGTTACACTGAACAGGTATGTGAATGGGAAAATTTGACTCATAAATGTCATCAGAAAAATCTGAGGTTTATATAAGGTATAAATTTGGCTCAAATTGAAGTTTTCCGAGATAGTGAATACTGATTCATTTGAGTTGAATGTAAGCAGTTGGAAAATATTGACTTGTTGGAGTTGAGTGTAAAGCAGTTGGGGAAATATTGACTCATTGGAGTTGAATGTAAAGCAGTTGGGGAAATATTGACTCATTGGAGTTTAATGTAAAGCAGTCTGGAAATATTGAGTCATTGGAATTTAATGTAAAGCAGTCGGAAAATATTGGCTCAATGGAGTTTAATGTAAAGCAGTTGGAAAATATTGACTCGTTGGAGTTTAATGTAAAGCAGTTGGTAAATATTGACTCGTTGGAGTTTAATGTAAAGCAGTATGATTCTCTCATTCTTGACAGTTTAGGAGAAGAAAAAGTTTTTAATTTGTTATTTTGGAACAGTATGCAAATGAGCAATTCTTGTAATTAACATGTGATTTAATGCTTCATATCACAGGTGTGTACCAAATGCGTTCGCTGTAAGAGCTGTGGGTCCACTACACCAGGAAATGCTGGACATGCCACATGGACCTATGACTTCCAGCTGTGTTACGAGTGTGGTAAACTAATGGACAAAGGTCAGTCTCTTACTTTCAGCTGAGACTGATTTTCTTATCAGCTAGCTTAGTATCTGTTTCTTCTGTGCCTATCTGTCTGCTGTTGTCTGATTTTAAAACATTGTGCTTCCATGCTTCAGTTTTGCTAGACATATTTGCCTTATTTCATTACATTGGTCTGTTAATTTACAACAAAATATGTCAGTGGCTCAGTTTCCTGCCTATTATTACTAAGCAAATTAACAATTAAATTCTATGTGTGATACCCCTAAATAGATGTTTTACTGGAATAGTCCTAAACATAACCTGGAGTCCTGGGATGGTATAGATGTTTTACTGGAATAGTCCTAAACATAATCTGGAGTCCTGGGGAGGTATAGAAGTGTCACTGGAATAGTCCTTAACATAACCTGGAGTCCTGGGGAGGTATAGAAATGTCACTGGAATAGTCCTAAACATAACCTGGAGTCCTGGGGTGATATAGATGTTTTACTGGAATAGTCCTCAACAAAACCTGGAGTCCTGGGGTGATATAGATGTTTTACTGGAATAGTCCTCAACAAAACCTGGAGTCCTGGGGTGATATAGATGTTTTACTGGAATAGTCCTCAACAAAACCTGGAGTCCTGGGGAGGTATAGATATGTCACTGGAATAGTCCTAAACATAACCATTGTGCTTCCATGCTTCAGTTTTCCTAGACATATTTGCCTTATTTCATTACATTGGTCTGTTAATTTACAACAAAATATGTCAGTGGCTCAGTTTCCTGCCTATTACTACTAAGCAAATTAACAATTAAATTCTATGTGTGATACCCCTAAATAGATATGTCACTGGAATAGTCCTAAACATAACCTGGAGTCCTGGGGAGGTATAGAAATGTCACTGGAATAGTCCTAAACATAACCTGGAGTCCTGGGGAGGTATAGATGTTTTACTGGAATAGTCCTCAACATAACCTGGAGTCCTGGGATGGTATAGATGTTTTACTGGAATAGTCCTAAACATAACCTGGAGTCCTGGGGAGGTATAGAAATGTCACTGGAATAGTCCTTAACATAACCTGGAGTCCTGGGGAGGTATAGAAATGTCACTGGAATAGTCCTTAACATAACCTGGAGTCCTGGGGAGGTATAGAAATGTCACTGGAATAGTCCTAAACATAACCTGGAGTCCTGGGGTGATATAGATGTTTTACTGGAATAGTCCTCAACAAAACCTGGAGTCCTGGGGTGATATAGATGTTTTACTGGAATAGTCCTCAACAAAACCTGGAGTCCTGGGGAGATATAGATGTTTTACTGGAATAGTCCTCAACAAAACCTGGAGTCCTGGGGTGATATAGATGTTTTACTGGAATAGTCCTCAACAAAACCTGGAGTCCTGGGGAGATATAGATGTGTTACTGGAATAGTCCTAAACATAACCTGGAGTCCTGGGGTGGTATAGATGTTTTACTGGAATAGTCCTCAACATAACCTGGAGTCCTGGGGTGGTATAGATGTGTTACTGGAATAGTCCTAAACAAAATCTTGGGTCCTGGGGAGGTATAGATGTGTTACTGGAATAGTCCTTAACATAACCCGGAGTCCTGGGGAGGTATAGAAATGTCACTGGAATAGTCCTAAACATAACCTGGAGTCCTGGGGAGGTATAGAAATGTCACTGGAATAGTCCTAAACATAACCTGGAGTCCTGGGGAGGTATAGAAATGTCACTGGAATAGTCCTAAACATAACCTGGAGTCCTGGGGAGGTATAGAAATGTCACTGGAATAGTCCTAAACATAACCTGGAGTCCTGGGGAGGTATAGAAATGTCACTGGAATAGTCCTTAACATGTCCTGGGGAGGTATAGAAATGTCACTGGAATAGTCCTAAACATAACCTGGAGTCCTGGGGAGGTATAGAAATGTCACTGGAATAGTCCTAAACATAACCTGGAGTCCTGGGGAGGTATAGAAATGTCACTGGAATAGTCCTAAACATAACCTGGAGTCCTGGGGTGGTATAGATGTGTTACTGGAATAGTCCTAAACAAAATCTTGGGTCCTGGGGTGGTATAATTGTTTTACTGGAATAGTCCTTAACATAACCTGGAGACTTAGGTTGGTATAGAGGTTCTTGTGGAATAACCCTTACTTAGTATTTCCCTCTAAACTTGAGTCACATTACCTGTTTACTCCTATAGAGGAACTTTGTATGGATTCATTCACATACAAGGCATCCATAAAATATATTAGTCTTATGTAGTACTCATCAGATCAGTTATTTACCATTGTTTCTGTTAAATTTTTATTGTTCAGTATTCTAAGTCTCTGACATAAATAAAGTAAGTATAAGTAACAGTTGTATTGTTAAACAGTTGACTCAGTTGATAAGTTAATTCATTAGCTTATGTTGTAAGTATGTTTGATGTTGGTTTACCAGGAAACTTTTGCCCGATGTGTCACAAGTGTTACTCTGATGACGACTGGGAGTCAAAGATGGTTCAGTGTGTGACGTGCGAAAGCTGGGTACACGCAAAGTGTGAAGGACTGAACGGTAACGTACTTATATTATTAAGGACATTTACATGAAGGACTTCTGAATGGAAGTCTGGATTAATATACCTGTCTCATTTACTCTGTCTAAAAGCCTATTCATCACACTTAAACTGGAGATTGTGTTTAGGTCCGGAATATTTCTCAATCAATAGTGCTTTCATAATATCTACATTAATATTTTGTAGAGAGATTTACTTAAATTCTCCAGCTTGTGTTTTGGGAAATATATCTAAAAGGATCCTATTAATCAAGAAGTCTGTCTGTGTTTGGTCCATAATGACCATTTTTAGCCCACCAACATCAGATTTTTTTTTTTGAGAAATACTGAATAAATCTTTCTCAAATTTTATGTTAAGTTCCTCTTGGTCCCTAATTGTCTGATTTTGGGACTGAAAAAAAAAAAAAATGGTCGACAAGCAGCCATCTTGGATTTCACCTAGTAAAGATTGTTATCTCTTTGTCTTGAGAACTACTGAATGGATCTCTGTCAAATTTCATACATATGTTCCCTTTAGTCTCTACATGTGCCTGTTTGACTTTTGGACTGATCAGAAGAAAAAAAATGGCTTTCAGGTGACCATTTTGGATTTGACAGTTAAAGATTAACATTGCTATTTCTGCAAAGGAATGTTAAATTTTGTTTTAAAGAGCAGAAACAGAGAAGAGAAAAAAACAGGAAAAGATCCAACTTTCAAAGAGCAAATAATTATCAAACAATGGTGGATGCCAAGATCCCACTGGGATCTCTTGTTACCTTTCTGGTTTTGTTAATGGATAGGTATTATATGGTCAACATATCAAATGTTTACAGATGAGATGTATGAGCGGGTGTCATTCCTGCCAGAGGATGTCCACTACATTTGTAAAATGTGTTCCCCTGGCGACCGTCCACGACACTGGGAGCTAGTCCTGAGAGATGACCTTCAAGCTGGCATTAAATCTGTCTTCTACACCCTCCTCAATGCCAAGTGTGCTCAGCACCTCCTACACAGAGATGTTAAGGTAAGGACCACTTAATAATGTTGACACACTGGAATGTTGATAAAAATCAAGGTCTTCTGAAAGTTTAATTCAAAGCCATTGGAAGGATTTCAGACTTTTTTCAAGCTTTGGTCAGGAGGGATATTGGACGTCTTTTGAAAATTTTTGTATTCCTGCAGAAATCTTGATGTTGCCATTGAAACTGCAAGGTGTATGATTTTGGTGTATGATTTTGGTGTATGATTTTTATTTTAGACTCGTGATAAAACTTAACCTCTAGCCATTACATACATTTATAAAAAGTTGCCGAATCTGTCGTACATCGCAGGGATGATATTTATTGTTTGCTGAGTGTCTGATGAGAATATTTAAATTAATTGTGCATTGATACTTAGGACTAGGCAAACATGTCTGTAATTGTCAAGTTCTCATTCATACTTAGATATACATTATACTTACCAGTGTTTGGAAAATGAATTTGTCATTTTTATAAAACCTTCATTTCAGAAGGAATCAATCCAGATCAACGAAATGTCAAAACAAGACGAAGCAATTCTAGTGGAGGGAGTAAAAGATTGTGAAAGAACAGCCAATGAAGGTAGCAAAAAGTTAGAAGACCGTAAATCAGAGGGAGGAAGTTCAAGTAATACAACTGCTGAGAAAGAGGATCCAGAGAGGTGTAACACAGAGGCTGTCTCGGTAACTATGGAAACAAACACTGAAGTAACATCTTTATCAGATTCAAAATGTGATTCAAACACCTCTGATCCAATGATGGGTAAGGAGACTGGCCTAAGGGAAGGGCAGGATGGGGATGGGGAACATGTGGGGCAGGGGAATGAAGCAGACTGTGATGGGGCTGGTGTGGGGCTAGGAAATAAAGCAGACTGTGATGGTGCCCGTGTGGGGCAAGGAGACGAAGCAGACTGTGATATTAAAAGTGGTGAATGTTCCATATTGGAAAAACCTGTGCCTTGTTCAGTTGGAGAGTCCGGTGAAAATAAAGGAAGTGATATTCCTATGGAGATTGATGAGCTTTGTGAAGCTGATGTAAAAGCCTCAGACAATGAATCCATGGGAGGGAGTAACATTAATAGAACAGCCGTTGTGAATGATTCACAGGTACTTTATGAAACTAATACGAAATATTCTAAAAATGACTTGATGGGAGGTAGTGTAATTGATAGAACACCTCTGAAAGAGTCAGAGGGAGGTAGTAGTGATGAAAGAATAGCTGCACATACTAAGCTTATGACTGACAAACAAAATTTAATAACTGACTTAAAGGATGAGGTGGATGGTGATCAAACTAAGGGTCAAATCGGTGACCTTGAACAAGTGCTTGACCGATCACAATCCATCAAACATTTAGAACCATGCTTATCATTGGAAAAGTCAGAGGGCCAATCAGAATTTGAAAAATCGAAATCAATTGTCCAATCAGAGATTATAACTATTACAGACAATAATCAAACAGATTCTTCACTCCATTCTATTGACAAATCAGATTCGGTGATACAGGACTGTAAAGTGGGAAGTGACCAATCAGATTTAAGTTTACATTTAAAGACTGCTCAGTCAGACAACATTTCTAAGGTGGATGTCAAGACAGAAGAAAGTAAGTCAGAGATGACACCAAATATAGACAATAATAACTCATTAGACTTAAAATGTGAAACATCTCAAAATGAAAATACAAAATGTGAAGCATCTGAAAAGGAGGAGAAAGTATGTGAAGTGTCCCAGAAAGAAGAAACAAAATGTGAAATACCCCAACAGGAGGGAAAAAAATGTGAAACCAAGGATACAAAATGTGAGTCCTCTGATGTTAAAAGTAAAAACTGTGAAAGGAAACAAGAAGATCTGAAATGTGAATCAACAAAAAGCAATGAATTATGTGAAAGAAGGTGTGAAACTCCTCAAAAATTGTCCCCAATGACTGATATTGCCTTGCTAACACCCAAAAAGTCTGGAAGTTTGACTTCTGTACATGTGCGGTTTAGTGAGAAAGGTGGACTATTCAGAAAAGTTGCACCAAGTCGTGATTTCCCACATGATTTCAGTGCAGTGAAAACCAAGATGGCTTCAGACAAATACAACAATGTGGTAAGTAAAACATCGAATAAATACCTTGTAAGGTATTTAATATCAGTTAAATGCTTCATGACTTTTATGGGTCAATATATTTTTTTCTGTAAGCTTTCAGTGAAAACAAGAACTTATTATTAAGATACTACTGTGGATTTTCCAGCAGATGTTTGCTGTTTCAGAAATATGTTTTGAGGACATAATCAATATAATCAAATTTTTTTTTTTTTTATCTTAATTTCTTTGTTTTCAAAATCAATATTATTTAACTAATCTCCTGTATGTCATATGTTGTGTTTTAAGCATATATTATATATATATATATGTATATAAAGATAGATAGCATTATACAAAGGGAAGTAATATAATTGACAAAACATTTGAAAGTCATGTCAACAAAAAGTTTAACCTAATTTTTTTGATAGAAAACTGAAATCTGTATATTAGTTACTGATTATGACAACATTTTCATTAGTATATACATTATGATATGAATATTAATGATATTTAAATTATATAGGAGGAGTTCAGTGAAGATATGGCGCATATCATATCACAAGCAATAAACGATCCCTTAGATCAGAGGATTGTACGTAAAAAAAACAACAACTCGGTCCGGTCCATATTTGTTAAGGTGGGTATAGTTTTGTGTCTGCTTAACACTGTTGTCAGGCAAATCTTCAAACAAGAAATATTGAAATTTTGATCAGTTCTGCTTAAGTTAGGTATACTAGACAAATTAATAAAAATCTTGATCAGTACTGTAAATTCCAGGTATAAGAGACACACTTTATTAAAATCTTGATCAGTACTGTAAATTCCAGGTATAAGACACACTTTATTAAAAGGTATACTAGACACACATTATAAAAATCTTGATCAGTACTGTAAATTCCAGGTATACTAGACACACAAATTAATAAAAATAAGAGACACACTTGATCAGTACTGTAAATTCCAGGTATACTAGACACAATTAATAAAAATCTTGATCAGTACTGTAAATTCCAGGTATACTAGACACAATTAATAAAAATCTTGATCAGTACTGTAAATTCCAGGTATAAGAGACACAATTTATAAAAATCTTGATCAGTACTGTAAATTCCAGGTATACTAGACACAATTAATAAAAATCTTGATCAGTACTGTAAATTCCAGGTATAAGAGACACACTTTATTAAAATCTTGATCAGTACTGTAAATTCCAGGTATAAGAGACACACTTTATTAAAATCTTGATCAGTTCTGTAAATTCCAGGACACACTTTATTAAAGACACACTTTATTAACAATCTTGATCAGTACTGTAAATTCCAGGTATAAGAGACACACTTTATTAAAATCTTGATCAGTACTGTAAATTCCAGGTATAAGAGACACACTTTATTAAAATCTTGATCAGTACTGTAAATTCCAGGTATAAGAGACACACTTTATTAAAATCTTGATCAGTACTGTAAATTCCAGGTATACTACACACTAAGATTAAAATCTTGATATGTCAGACATAAACTCTGTTTAAATCATGATTGGCACAAATTTTGAAAAGACAAGCTTTTGTAAACATTCAATGTTTATAATTTTATTAAATGTAATTTGTAGATTGTTTAGATATGGGTACAGAATTGTGTGTATTCACTAGCAATGCCAGGTTTGTTTTCCATTTTCATATTAATATAGAGGAATGATACCAAAGATAACGGTTATACGAAATGGACGACGGTAGAAAAAAATTCATGATTTCTGTCTGCCATGATGTCATTAAATCCTAATGATTAAAACAGGATGTTTATAGAATCGCTTGAAATATAAATATTTGTGTACTTTCCAGCAAATGGAGCGATGTTTTCCATGGTTTAATATTAAGACCTGTAAACTGTGGGATCAACAACAGAGCCTGCCTGGGTAAGTCTTAACTAATTCAAGATGTAACACGGCATTTGATTGGTCAGTTAAAGTAATTTGCAGTTTTATAATTATTAAGTTTTGTAATATAATATATATCAATATTCAAAGGGATATTGTGATATGTTATGATATATCTAAGTACATGAACTTTTTTATAGAACATATATATTTGTAACTTTATTTGATGTAGTGATGTATTGAAAACTACATAATGCCAAACAGGTTTTAAACACACATCACATCTTTGATTTTAGATTTCAATGAAATTCCTTTCCAAAATTACCCAAAGTTCTGCAGTCAAATTGCACAAACAGCTGTAGAAGATTGTTGTAATATATGGTACATGTGATACTGTGAATTATGTTTTGCAATATATTGACACCAGATAAGATTGCGACAGTATTGCCTACGGCTAGCAATCATGATATATAATTAATGCTGTGTTTGTTTTTAACAACAATTATTAAGGATTTCAATGACCTTAGATATCATCAGATTGTATCACAAATGATAATGTAACTTGGAAACACCATTCTAGTAGTACTGCCTCACTAATAATATTCTAACCACAAATGTGATCCATGGAGTCCTAATTTCAGAAAAAACTAGCAAACTTACCAAGTAATTAACATCAATTAAAATATCATTGTTTTGAGACAGTGGTATAAAATATGAACCTCATTTCACTTCATCACTATCATACTGTCTTTATTGTGAAATAACCCTGTAGGTGGGGGGGGGGATTACCTATCATCTCGGACTCAATGTCTGGGGATGGGCTTATTACTGGACTATGGAGTAATGAAGCTTATTATGAAACATGAGCATATTAATTTTTGTCTGAGATTACGTGCCAACAGGAAGGGTGTTTGGATATCAACAATTTTAGTCAGAAGGGTTTGGAGGTTAAGATATTGACCTAAAATACATTCGTAAAGAGATAATTTGTGTAATGTTCTGCAGAGGGATGTTACCGGAGGCTGTAATACCACCTTCAGAAGACCATACTTACGCCCAGTGGCTGGAGCGACAAGAGACACCCAAGTCACCTCAGCCATCGCCCTTCAAGAAACTGCACAGTACCCCGATACCCAAGGTTCTCCCCATAGGTAAAATCACACATGTGTCAAGACTGAAATTGAAACCAATTAGCCAGGCCTATGTTAAGATTTGTGCTTTCAAAAGGCCAGTAATATAACTGCTCTGAAAACATTAACTTTCATTTGTTTCGCAAAATCTCATGAATACTGTCATATTATGCAATTTGGGTTCAACATGAATATTTCATTATACTCTCTTAGATGTTAGAGGTTGTATGCGCTGTTAAAACGATGAAAAGTTGTACCTTTACAATATGCTGACTTTCCATTTCACATACAGCTGTGGATGAGGATGCGGAAAAGGTGCTGTCTTGTGACCTGGAGGATGCTGGCGAGGACATGCGACGATGCATCCTTTGTTGGCATTATGGAGACGCAGATCCAAATGTATGTACAGACAACAGTATGTCTTTCTGGAAAAGTGACTGGAGTAGTAATTTTCTAACTAACCATACTGCCTTTAATAGAATGAGCATAATCTGTGTCATTTAATTAGCATTAGTTGACCTCAACCCCCACATGCCAATGCTTTGTAATAAGCCCAACTTTATCTATCATAGTTTTGGTAGAGATGCCAGCAGAAGCTTTCACTTACAGTAAGTGAGCTTTTCTATAGTTATCTAGCAAAAAAAAAATCTCCCAAAGGAGAAAACTAGAACAACTAGCAGGCAGAAACATGTTTGTTACCAGTCAATAGGCAACAGACTTTTGTGAATGAAAACCTAGCTTCATGAGTCGCTTCCCTTTTCTGCCATTTGTCAATGGCGCTGATATGGGGTGACCTTAAAATATTTAAGATAAACCTATATTATTAAATTATTGATGTCCAGTTAATAATAATAATAATAATAGTCTTTATTTATACTTGATAACAAATTTGAGTCAATGACTCGGATTACAATTTGGTCAAGTGTTTACTAAATTACTAAGTTAATTTCCTTCAAACAATTACATTCTGTATTTGTTGTAGGACGCTGGCCGTCTACTGTACTCCGGACAAGATGACTGGATCCACATCAATTGTGCCCTGTGGTCAGCCGAGGCCTATGAAGAGGAGCATGACGGGTCACTTCAGTTTGTTCATGCAGCGGTGTCCAGAGGAAAGCTGCTGGTGAGAAGAAAGCATCTTAAAGAAAATATATATACTATTGAATTCCATGTAGAATACATGTTTCTTCATCAAGATAATTCATAGTTCATGGAAAGATGAAGAAGAAATCTGACCAGTTCTATTCACAATATATTTAAACATTTTCTTTTATTGTCCGCTGCTACTGAAAAGCTGATATTTCATTACAAAATTAAAACCTTAAAAATCTTTAAACAGTAATAAAAAAGAACTATTCTATCTAAGATATGGTATTTCTTTATTTTCTACATCAGTACACTTTTCAGTACACAATTTTCTATTAATATTGCACTGACACAGGAACCTGGATCTTATTTTTTGTTCACAGAAGTGTGACCACTGTAATCGTTCGGGCGCGACAGTTGGATGCTGTATGAGAGGATGTCCCGCTAACTACCACTTCATGTGTGCAAGACAGAGTCACTGTGTGTTTCAGGAGGACAAGAAAGTCTTCTGTAGTCTTCATCGTGATAAAGTAGACGGAGAGGTAAGTGAGAATTTTACAGGATGTCAGAATACACGAGATTAGACAGGATGTCAGAATACGCAGGGTTAGACAGGACGTCAGAATACACGATATTAGACAGGGTGTCAGAATACGCAGGGTTAGACAGGATGTCCGAATACACAAGATTAGACAGGATGTCAGAATATGTAAGATTAGACAGGATGTCAGAATACATGAGATTAGACAGGTTGTCAGAATATGTGTGATTAGACAGGATGTTAGAGTATGTAAGGTTAGACAGGATGTCAGAATACACCAGATTACACAGGATGTCAGAATACATGAGATTAGACAAGATATCAGAATACGTGAGATTAGACAGGATGTTAGAATAAGTGAGATTAGACAGGATGTCAGAATACATGAGATTAGACAGGATGTCAGAATATGCAAGATTAGGCAGGATGTCAGAATACTAAAGGATATGAGAAGACAAGATGTCAGAATTCTCAGGGGTCAGATTATACAATATTTCAGAATACCCAGGGGTCAGATTAGATAAGATGTCATTATACTGAGGGGTGAACTCAGACATAATTTCAGAATACTCCTATTAAATTGGACGGAAGTAGATTTCTGTCCCCAATCTACCTGAAAAGATTTCTAATAAAAATTCAATTGGATTGGTTGCAGCTTGTTGCCAAGGACAGGTTCGCTGTGAATCGACGAGTTCTTGTTAACATGGAAGGTGTGAAATGGGCCAAGAAAACATGGGCCAAGGGTCTAGACCCAGCTGTTATCAATGTGCTTATTGGTAAGGATGAGGATGAGGTTGAACGGGACTCACCAGAATCTACTGTACAAACAGACTAATACACATAGGATAGTTAATCTGTTTTGTTCTAATCAATATGTTCAACAGAGCGCATGTCATTTCCAAATGTATTTACTGCTGAAATTGGATAGGAAGCCTTTGACAGTTAATAAGCCCGCCGTGTCTATTTCAGTTTTGTTAGAAATGCCATTTAATGCTATTCTGTTGTCCTTTAAGGGTTAGGGTTACCTTCCCTTCCTACTTGAAATTTGAGGTCTGTGTATATATATTGCAGATTATATATTGTTATATCCTGTTACGTTATATGCAGTGAAGTGATATTTGTTGGCCTTTGTTGTACAGGGTCATGTACGGTGGAGTCTCTAGGTAGACTAACCCCTTCCTCAGACTACAGAGACTGTTTAGCACCTGCTGATTTCTGGTATGTATTAAACAGTTGGTATGCATTTGAAGCATAGAATATAGTAGAGGCAAAGTCTGATGGTGAAAAGATATTTAAGATATTGCAACTTGCTGACTTTTCAATAGAACATAATTGATTTGGCACAATTGAATGTTCGAGCATAATCACTTTTTTACAAAATGATAAATTTGTGTACCCACAATAATTACATATAACCAGCATATAGACATTGCAATTTATGTAGAATATGTTTAGTGTGAAAAGCACCAACAAGATTTAACTGCTAAAATATAAACCATTACAATATAATTAAAAAAAGATAAGCTAATGATGATGCAACTTAATGTGAAGCCATCCCTGCAAATGGATTGCTTTTGATCAATGAAGTCAAAATGAGACAATTTCTTTCATTTTCATCACATATATACTTGTAATTCAAAGATATGTGTTGGCCTGTATAGTTATGATTCTTTTGAAATCATTTTGGACTAAGATATCTTTCTTATTGTCGAGAAGGATTTGATTTTCAATGTTGTCGAAAGTTTTAGATGATGCAGATCATTTCCATGTGGTAATTTCGAGATACTGTTTTGTTTATTTGAAGTAAATGGCTTAGTGCAATTTATTTAATATTTTGAAAGGTAAATGTTACCTTGGATACAGAATGATCAAAGACTGAATTGTTATTGATTAGAATAACGAGATGATTTTTTTTTCAGAAATTTCTCAAGAATACAATTTGAATGAAAGTAATATTAAGAAAGATGTGCCACTTTAGAAATCTGATTTGTGATAGTCCTAGAATTATTTTTAAAAGTGAAATTTATTTTTGTTTATTTGCAGTTCTTCCCGAGTGTTTTGGAGCACAAGGGACGCTCGTCGTCGCTGTGTGTATACTTGTCGTATTGTCGAGGTTAAACCAGACAGTCCCAAATCAATGAAGGTTGTTTTGAAGGATATGACAATTATACATGATGAAAACCACCCAGATTTTGTACCCCTATCCACACTAGATATTCCTGGAGTGAATCTCTTCCCTGTCACTGAATCACTTGACAATAAGAATAACAACAGCCTTAAATCAGACATTATCGATCTGTCGGGAGAGTCTTGTGAAATAGATGGTTCTGTGGTTTACCAGTCTAGCAGCATTCAGGGTCAAGGTCTTAGTTCAAGTTATAATGGTAGCTCATCTACATTGAAAGATTCTGAGTCTGATAAGCTTAGTAGTTCCTGGCCCCTTGTGAAAAAGAAAACGTCAAAAGTGGATTTGTCCTTGTTGTCTCCAAAAACACTAAAATTGCTCAACATCAAAGACCCTGAGAAATATAAAAAAGCTGCTGTGCCTGAGAAAGCAGTTGTGAAACAAGCGCCACCTAATGTTATCAATGAGAATAACTTCAGTGGTTTCCTTACAAAAATTGCTGATCGTTTAAACCAAGCTGCTGCTCGCAATATTGGCCGAAAGGATGGTGAAAAGACTCCTCCGCATGGTGGACTGCGTGGAAGGGCAAGGTCAAATTCAGTTGAAAGGATGCCATCAAGGTCAAACTCTGTTGAAAGATTTGTGCCATCCCCTCTGCCACATGTGAGATCAAAATCTGTAGAGCGATTTGTGACGTCTCCCTTGCCTATTTCAAGGTCAAGTTCAAGATCAAATTCTGTAGAAAGAGATTATCTGGTCAGTTCACCTGGTGTTCTGCCGCAGAATGACACTGAGGTTCTTGATGATACAGGAAGCTATCATACAAAAGATTCAGAATCAGATGGGAATGCCACAATTTCTACAGTGTCTGCTGAGGAGTCCATGAACCAATCAGGAATGGCCATTGATTCCAGCCTGGAACCAATTGCTGAGGAGGGAGATGTAAATACTGAAAACGTTCAGGAGACCGTGATTGTGCTACCAGATGACTGTGGGGAACTAACTGAGGAAGAAGTGCTTGCTATTGCACAGGCAGCTCTTCAGCAGCAGGAAGGGGAGGAAACTCTGCAATTACAAGGGGAGGAAACTTGTGAGGAAAAAAACAATTCATCACAGGACAATCCAGAAGGAAATGAAAGCCTAAAAGAAAATAGTTTTATGACCGATGCTGGTACAAGTGAGGCTCTGCAACTTATTGAAGAAAAGAAGGGACTAGAAACCAATGCAGATGATATAATAGGAACATTATCAGATCCTTCAGGACAGGTTACTACATCAGATTTTGGTGGTGCAACAGAAACAGGTATGGAACATTCTACTGTGGTAACAGATTATTCTTATGAACAAAGGGAGAAAACTCCAGAGTTACAAAGAGAGATTTCTACAGAACAGAAGGTTGTTGATGATCTGAAGCAGACAATAGTGTCAAACTGTTCTGGTGAGATGGAATCTGCTGTGGACCATTCCAATGATGGTAAGGTGACAATTTCAGAAGACCCAAAGAAAGTTTGTGTAGATCAATCTGGAGAGATAAAGGAGAATGTTGCAGATCCTCAGGGTTACATTGCTGCTTCTGACCAGGACTGTGATGTGATGGATTCAGGTACAGAGACAAATATACCAATGCATGTCACAGGAAGTAAAATCAAAGATCATGGGAAGATAACCCCGCTTGATTTGACCAATGATTCGTTGGAAGAGATGGAAGCTGGTGTCGATGATGTGATACTTGTTGACATTAATACAGGAAAACGGGAAGCTCAAGAGGCAATCAAATCGAATCTGGAGTTGGATGTGAAGTGGACTGATGACATGTATCTTTGTAGCACTTCTGGACGTTTTATACCAAAATCCTCATCTGGATCAGATTGTAAGGACATAAAAAAATCTGTATCTGAAAAACACTCTGGTAAATCAGTGTCTAAAAAGGACACAAATGAAATGGTTCATGGTGAAGTTTTAACTGAATCAGTATCAGACAAGTGCTTGACAGAAGATCAGCCTGCTACAAGAATGACAGAGTCGGTGTCTGACAAAGGCTTGATTGAGGAGCCAAAGGTGGGACCAACCAAGAAACAGGATGGGAGACATAAAGGTAAGGTTAGGGTTAGGAGTTACACCATGCCTGAGAGTAAGATATCCATAAATAAGAAATTATGTGAGAAAAATTTAGATTAATATCTGAAGCTCTGCTGATGTTGAAGTTTATGGGTGAGAGAAATTTACATTGACAAGAGAAATCATTCTTTGTTCTTGTTAACATTATGCATGTAATTTTTTTCCACATATAAAGTAGTTCATTGACAGAATATACCTTGTTTGTGGAAACAACCTGCATACATAGTTTTAGAAATGTAGTCTTAACCCAGTTAATATTGTGTCACCAAATTTACGCAGTCAGTTGTCAGGGCTCTCACACCCCATTTTGGGACTGGGGCCTGGGGCCCTTAGAATTGGAAAAAATAATGGTGTTTTCCTTAGAATTGGGAAAACCAAATTTACTATTTTGCAGTCTGTTGACTTGTACGTAACTGTTAACTTGGTAAAAAGCGATAAACCATGCATTCTATTTTAAATGTTTCTCATACTAGAATATTGTTTCGTTCTTTAGGTGGGAAAAAGAAGAATCGGTATCAATCTACACAAGACGTTAAACCAGGTGAAGATCAGAAATTAATTGACAAATTAAGGAGGGACCATGACAGAGTGGAAGACATTGAAATGACCGATACCATAACTGGTAGTGATCAAACCAATAAGGATAAAGATAACAAAGTGACGTCAGTCTCACCCAGTCAGGACACGGGCAAAGGTGATGGCTTGAATGGCTGTTTCATGGAGGGAGCAAAAATAAAGGAAAGCAAACATGGCTCTGTGAAAGAAAACCATGACAATTCAAAGGATGTAGAAATCACAGCCATCGATTTGACAGGTGACGACGTAGATGATGACGGTGTGGAGATGACTAACAAGCTAGACGCAGTTTCAGGTTCAGATAATACCAGGGTAGTAGACAACTCGAATTTCTCCACAGAAAACCACTCCAGCAAAGCTGATAAAGCAGAGGATGATTCGCAGAAGATTGTACGCAGAGAACCACTACGGTTTCTTCGTCCAATAGAAGAGAAGCCGGTAGAGCAGAAAAAGTACCAGAAGAAATCAAAACAGAAATCAAAACAGAGTAAAAAGACAAAAGTCACGTCAAAATGTCAAGGTGAGATGGAGAAGTCAAGGTCATGTGATGGGGCAGATTTATCAAGTTCAAAGGTCACAGAAGAACCAACGTCTAATGCAGGTTACGAGAACTCTGAACATGGAATGATTGCCAGCACGATTCACTTAAACATTTTTACAAACTCACCATCTGGCAAGAAGGAACTTGAGAGTTCAGTTGAAAATGACATGAAAAAGGGAGATAATCCTCCTGAAGACAGTGATAGAATACTAATATCCAGTCCACCAGCAAATGAGACAGTGGAAGATCATCCTCTGAAAAGTGAACAGTCAGATCAGACTAAACATTCTCAGCTTGTGGAGCCCATTTACAATTCTAAAAATGAGCTTATTGGGCACCGAGTAGTTGTTGATGGTGATTGTGTAGCAACACCTGAGCCAGGCAGAAGAACAAGCCCAACAACTGACTTATGGGATATGGTTGTTCGGGAATTAGTCAATGAAAACCCCGAAAAATTTCAACCTCTCAAAACTGATGATTCTAAATCAGTTGAATCTCCCATCCCACAAGATGTTTCTGTGGATGATTTAGACTGTGGTAAAAAAGTCTCTACTGAAAACAGTGATTCTACCACACTCAAGGGAGACAACTCTTCAAATGTTGCAAATGAAGTGGATGAAATGCCATTACATGTACCAGATATGTCTGTTAAACCAATACAGGATGGTGATGATACAGAGAATCAGTCTGAAGAAATGAAAGGGAATAGCAATGACACATCTAATTTAACTGATGACAAGCTGCCTGTGAAACCAACGTTCAACTTATCTCCAATCAAAAAAACACCTGTTAAAGTCAATACAGAGGAAGAGAAGAGACTGGAAAAAGAGAAAACTGAGATTCTCAAAGGCCTGGGACTGGCCAGAACTCCAACAGGAAATGAAGAAAGTCCAGATTTCAGCAGTAAGTCCTCACCTCTGAAGAAATATCCCCTCCGTCACCGACGGTCAAACTCTGGGCACTCCGATGACAGTCCGGTCAAAGCTGAACTTGACTGGTTGTGCGAACAAAAGCTGCCCATCCATGAAGAAATTGCCCAGAAAATTAAGGCAGAAAGCCTCGCTAAGAGTATACCTGGAGCCAAAGGACCATTTAAATGTCCTACTTGTAAGAGACTTTATCGCACACGAGAAAGTTTTAAAACTCATGTGAAATCCTGTGACTTTGAGGTCAGCACAAGTGACGAGGAAGAAGAAGAGGAGGAGGAAAAAGTGGAGGAGGAGGAAGAAGAAACAAAGGATGGGAGGAGGAGATATTCTGTAAGAGAGCACACTATGGAGGCAAGAAAAGCTATGGCTGGGGAAATGAGAGCACGGGTTGAACTTCAAAACAGAGAGGCATCGCCCAGCAAGAAACGTGGACGGCCAAAACGATCACTCGTTGATGATCCGAAGGATTTGATATCATCGAATCACGTCAATAGTATGAGTCCCGATGAAGGCACACCACCCGTCAAAAGAGGCAGAGGGAGACCGAAAATGTCGCCAGATGTTGTGTTGCTAGATCACCAGGAAACTGAGAAAAGACATTTGTTGAAAAATAAGACAGGTTTGGCAACCAGGAATCTGAAGGAAGGAGTGAAAAGTACTCCAGAGATCAGTGGAATAAAAGGAAAAAGGGGCCGACCTCCGAAATTTAAGTCTCCAGTTGCTATAAAAAGCCCTACCAAGGAGAAACTTGTGTCAGAGAAAGCAATACAAGAGGGTATACGCAAAAGAGGACGACCACCTCTGAAAAGTCCAAAGGCAGAATCAGAGGAAGACGATAATGGGAAGACTAGAGTTAGAAGATCACCACTTAAAAATCTAACTCCAACAAAAGCAGATATTGTTGGGAAGCGAGGACGTCCTTCATTAAAAATATCTCCGAAGAAAGTGTTTGATGAGGAGGATATTGTACCTAGAAAAAGAGAACGGTTGTCAGTTGGAGGATTGAAAAGTCCCAAGCTTTGCCGTCCTGTACGAGGCCTTGTTGTATCACCAAGGGGAAGAGGCAGACCACAAAAGACAATTTCTGTTAAAATTGAATGTAAAGAAGAAACTAATAAAACAAAGCCTTCAGGAAAATGCAGCCAGGAAGATGATGCTACAACTGACAGTAACAAGCACCAGGAGCTTAACAGCCAGTGTGGAGAGGTTTCTCCAACTCGGAGACGTGGGCGTCCTGCAAAGATATCAAAATCGCCAAGAAATATCGAAAATGTTGAAGAAAGTGATGGTAATGTATCTGTTACATCACCAGATGAGAAAGGTAACACAGGAGAAAGTGGATCAACACCTGACTTAACTGGAGATACATCAGAACCTGTCTTATCACCCGAGATAAAACGCAAGAGAGGCAGACCCTTTAAAAACAAGAAAATACAAGGGAAGGAGCCAATCAAAAGAGATGAAAATGATAAACCAGAAGTGCAAGTGAATGATTCTACTATAGGAAGTGAAGAAAGCAAGGGAGATAAGTCAAATAATGCCTCAAGTCAGGAGGACAGTGGCACAGCCACAAGGAGAAAACAGCACTTTATCGCTAGACAAGATAAAGATTCTGAAGCAGATTGTGAGGAATTCAAGGGGAACAACTCTTCTAAAGAAAATTTGTCAGAAACAAGTCAAGAAATAGATGAGTGTTCTGAGACATTAGTTAGGGAGGAAAACAGTGACTGTCTTAAAGAAGGAAGCTGTGCCTCCTCTGCTATTGTGATAGACAGTGAGAATGAGGAAGACCAGGAGAAGGAGCAGCAAAGGACAGAATGTGAACAAAATCTCAGCAACGATGGGCAACAATCGAACAACAGTGATGGAAAAACACCCACAGCAAGTGATAAAGAACAATCATTAGTGGAAAATACAGAATCAAGCGATATCACCGAGAAATTGTGTTCTGTTGAAAAGGACAAAAAATGTGAAGTTTTATCACAATTAGATATTATGTGTAAAACTAGTACAGCAGAACAGACAGAAAGTTACAGTAAGAAAGCTTGTATAACTATGGTAGGGGCTGGCTTTAACATAGGCAAGCAGGAGGTCACCACACCACCGTTAGATAACGTAACATCCACAGGTCCTTCCGAGAAAACAACATCTAAGGTCCCGACAGAGGAGGGAGGACATGTCTCTAGTGGCATGCGTCGTGCTAGCTCCGAGTCTAACATGAGGACAACTCAGAATCAAAACTCCAGCTGTGCTGGAATCAGTGAAAACATGGTTCACCCAACAACCCCAGTGTCAATCCGCGACCTCCTACAGCAGAAGATGGCTGTAAGTTCAACTGAAAAACCTGGGTACCAGGTAGTGAGAATCCACAGGCCTAAGGGTGCAGACACCTGGAAGGAGGATATTAAGAGTATACTACCAGTACTTCCTGCTAATATCCTAGAGAAGTTACGGGACCCCGCTCAGAGGGATGGTGCTGTTAAAATGATACAGGATCTCATAAAGGTTAAATCTGCAACTGATACAGTCAAGTCATTATCACAACCCGTGATTGAGACAAGAAATGTTCAAGACATTGCGCCAGTCCCTAAGTTCACTCTGCCAAGCAATCTCAACTCACGAGAGGCAATCCAAAATTACATCAAATCTCACATCAATCAACACACCAAAGAGGCTGGAATTGACCAATCAAGTGTCACCAGTCAGCATGTGACCCAGGAAGGGTTATCTGGGTCACAGTATCGTATGGTAACCCCCAGCATCAGTGATCCTCGTCTGCTGTCACCCGCGGCAATGACTACTGGCTTCCAGGTGGTGACACCTACCCAAAACAATCTGGCTGGCACCATTGTCCAGGTGCCAAGTAATATTCCTTATCATCTGTCACCGCCTCAACCACTTCAACAATTATCTCCGCAGATACCCATGGCAACACATTCATCAAATCAGTTAACACAGTTATCCCCCCAGGTACAAGTACACACACAGCCCCCAAGATCATCTGTTGCTCAACTGATACAACCTACAGTAAATCCTCAGTACCTGGGAGAAATATCTCACATACCACAGCTACAAAACCTGCATTCCTCACAGTTACCTCCATTTAACATTGCAGCCAATACAGTGAGCATCCCCCAGCAATCGTTTCAACCATTTAACATTGCTCCTTCACCTCAGCCAGTAATAGGGGTGACCTCAACTCCAACCCCAATAGGTCAAAGGGCAGTCTTGATGGGGCCTCCAATGGGAAGCTATAACATTCCACATGTTGCAGGCATGAGGCCACAGGAGGGAGTTTCCAGTTTGCCAGGAACTGTTATGATTCCTCAGCAGGTGCCTGTGACTCCACAGATGTATCATTCCCCTCAGATAGCCCCTAACAATTCTCAACTAACTCCTCAACTCATCAGAGGTAGTTCTGCAAGTCCACAACCTTCAGTAATAACGGGAGAGGAAACACAAAAAAAGACTCCCAATACCTTAGTCCGAATATTTGTGGATGGTAAACCAGTTGCCGTAACAACAGATCCATCAGTGCTCAACAACCATGACAAGCTGCTGTCACGTTTAGGCTCTACTAACCTACAGGCAGGAACATACAGCGTCACTGTGTCAACACATAAAATGTCTATCAGCACCAACACATTGACTATGGCTGGTCAGTCGTCCACATCAAGTCCAATGTCTTTGATCCCTAAGAGTACGGACAACCAAATGTTACATTCTTTACTCAAAGCCCCACTGCCTTCCAGTCTTGGTGCAGCGGCATATCCCACTGTCACTACCTCCACACAGGCATCAAACTCTAGTATAATGTCCACAGGTAAAGTGTCCTCAGTCAGCAATAGTGCTATCAAGAAATTGCTCTCAAAGAGGGAGTTTACAGCCGTTGGTAACCTTCACTCCTACATCAAGAATACAGACGGGAAAGTAAGGAAACCGATGATCAAACCAAATATAATTCACAAAAAACGGGTCACTGGAAATTCAAATTTGAGCAAAAAGATGCTTGTTACCATGGAGAAGAATGGGATGATTCAGGGTGCTTTAGCAAAGGCACTGATGCGTAAACTTGTGAAAAATAATAATGAAATGTCGCCGAAAAAGAAAATTGTGTTTCGTGGCCTGACTGCACCAGGTGAAACAGAGAAGGCTGATTCCATCAACATTTCACCAGTTGCTGAAACTAACAAAAGTAGACCCCCACCTACAACAGCTATAAAGGTCAAGAGAGCGACCCTTCCAAACAAAGGCAAGGTGAATACCATCAGGAAAGGAATACGGAGACGAAAGACACCACTGAAAGCAAGGAGTGTAGCTCTCCCTCACGTTACAGGTAAAAATATTGATGATGTAACCCTGCATTCTTGTACATCTCTAAAGTGTCTTAAAACTTTGTCTAACTCATCATATGTTGTATTCCTGTGAATCTGCAGTTTCAGCTTCTCACAACTTTTGTAGACAAAAGTTTTCATAGTTACAGTTGTTGTTTTCATGTTCTAGTTTTGATTTTGTGTTCAATAGCAATGTTCTCCAATAAGCCGAGAACTAGCAGGAGCATATTGGGTAAAGGTTTGGGGTGGATATATGGCAGGAATATAAATAATGAAACAAACTGGTGATTTCTCAAAAAATATTCACAGGCTTACTGTAAAATGATTAATTTTATAGGTACTTTAAGTTTAGTGCAAACATTCATATGTCCATGAAACTGCTGAAAAATTTAGGATTACAAAAATTAGGCGGTTTTTAATTTTACATTGTAGGAGTAATGAGTCATCCGATATTGCATGCCCAGAAAGATCTTCTCACCCTGCCACAGCCAGCTGTTGAGGAGGAGGTAGTAGCCACTCCTTACTCTAGGGCCAATGAGGGACATGGCCGAGGCCAATCACGTGACGTTGCTCGTAGCAAAAAGGAGTCCTATCTTGTCTTTGAGATTTCCAGCGATGATGGCTTCTCCTGTCGGGCAGACAGTATGGATGGTGTGTATTTAGACCAATTTCAATGAAAACTTCATTGGAGAAGCATCTTGTCCAGTTTTTGTGTTCTAATGACCTCACTTTAAAGATGATCTTTTAAATAGGGTAAAAAGTTACCACAACAGTTACAGACATCCTGTATCACATATCTGTGCTATTATCACTATGATTGATTGTACCTTGTGGAGTTATGATTGGCTCCCTGTACCTTAGTGAGTAATGATTGGCTCCCTGTACCTTGTGGAGTTATGATTGGCTCCCTGTACCTTGTGGAGTTATGATTGGCTCCCTGTACCTTGGTGAGTCATGATTGGCTCCCTGTACCTTGTGGAGTCATGATTGGCTCCCTGTACCTTGTGGAGTCATGATTGGCTCCCTGTACCTTGTGGAGTTATGATTGGCTCCCTGACTTTGGTTAAGTTCCTTTTGTTTCAACTGCCATGTCTTTGTAGTGTCACATGCATTATACTGTTGCCATAGAAAGAGACATAGAGTGAATCTCTGGGTACTTTTGATTTTCATTAATGTAAATTGGAAATATGTCAGAGTTAGATGCACTTCAGAATATTACCGTCTTCATAAGGGATCTCTTTGGGACAAGATTTAGGATATTTTACCCTTACTTTTTCAGAAATTCTCATTGAAATCCTCGGAATGTGCTATATTATATAGGAAAATCCATTTCACTTTCTCCAAAATCCTACAATTCTCCCATAACATTAAAGACCTAGGATTGCTCCTGCTTCATTGCATATCAGAAAACGAAGTGACTTGTTTTTTTGCAAAGTAATAGTCTCGAATCCAAGTTGTTTTGATGTGTTTATTTGAGTTGTTAGCTGTCATGGCATGGCTTTTATGGTTGTTATAGATGACTTGCTAAATGCAATAAATATATTTGCTTGCAATGTTCTGTCATTTATAGTGTCCATAAAAGTCATATCGGCACAGTTTAAAAGTAATAGTTATATATCCTATGTATGGTGCTGTCCTATGCCAGTAATTACTGACTTGGAACAAAAATACACTGTTCACAATCAACATTATGTGCCATCTGATGAAACAGCCATTTGTATTCTGTGGCATTTAATGGGGCCCTCACTGGATGGCATTTAATGGGGCCCTCACTGGATGACCTTTAACGGGGACCCACTTGATAGCATTTAATGAGTCCCTCACTGGATGACATTTAATGGGTCCTCACTGGAAGACATTTAAGGCAACCCCCCCACCCCCAATGTATTGCATTTAATGGGGCCCCTCACTTGATAGCAATTAATGGGTCCCCACTGGATGGCATTTAAGGCATTTAATGGGTCCCCACCTCCACTGTATTGCATTTGATAGGCCCTTCACTGGATGACCTTTAATTAGGCCCCACTTGATAGTATTTAATGGGTCCTCACTGGAAGGCATTTAAGGCATCCCCACTCTATGGCATTTAATGGGCCCTCACTTGATGGTATTTAATGGACCCTAACTGGATGGCATTTAATGGGTCCTCACTGGGTGGCATTTAAGGCATCCCCACTGTATCGCATTAAATGGGCCCTCACTTGATGGTATTTAATGGACCCTAACTGGATGGCATTTAATAGGTCACCACTGGATGGCATTTAATGGGGCCCTCACTGGATGGCATTTAATGGGGCCCGCACTGGATGGCATTTAATCAGTCCCCTCTGGAGGGCATTTAATGGGCCCTCACTGGATGGCATTTATCATACTATCAATCACAATTGTTTTCTATTGATATTGAGACACTTTCATGCATATATAAAGATTTACACCAATTATTTCACAGAGGTGTGGAGACAGATTGCAGAAAAAGTCCAAGATGCACGAGTGGCTGCTCGCATGAAACAGCTTTCCTTTCAGAGTAGGTGTTTACATTCTTGTGTCCATCAAAAATCCTGCATGCATCTGTGGGGTATTTCTGTGACCTCCATGCACTCATTTTATCTGAGCTTACATTACAAACCTCAATATCTATCCTAGACCCATTGTTTTTTGTGAAATATTTGTGCCGCTAAATGGTCTTGCAGACACCCTTCAGAATTTTGTTCACATGTAAAACGTAAATCAAAAAATTATTTTAAGTTTTCATTAGTGCCTCAAAAAATTTACTTTTTATTTTTGGAGAAAAACCAGATGAGATATGTGTTCGAAAGCTAGATGGTTTGATATTCAAGTTTTCTGATTCTAGTTATAATCTTTGATCATATCGTGTATTGTTTTTTGAGACGTGGGGCGTGGACAGATGAATATAGAAATGTTAAACTTTGTTTAAGATATGGATGGAGCAACAATGTTTGGTGTGAACCACAACTCTTTGCGCTACCTTATAGAACAGCTGTATGGCATACAACATTTCCGTAACTACGAGACTCTCTATCATCATTATGACCTGTCGCCTGAGGAAGAGGTAGGTCTCTCAAACACTCGGAGTCAGCTTAGCAACTGTCTGTCACTTTTTTCATTCTTTTTGATATTAAACATTTTTTTATTTATATTTTGTGAATTCAGTCCCATATATCTCACAATTGCAGGTTGAATTATTTTTTTAATGAAATTGTTTAACTTTAGAATTATGTAAATATCCCAACAGAGGTAGGGCATTTTAAATGAAGCATGTGTAAAGTTTGATTTATTGAATCAGTCACAAGTCTTTGCTGCATGGCAAATTCTCAATAATGATAAACAAAGAGATCCCTCAAAAGTGACTTTGATAAATTTGTATGTGAACTGGAAGTGACATGGGTATCAGAATTGTGACTTTGATAAACTTGTATGTGAACTAGAATTGATATATGTATCAGAATTGTGACTTTGATAAACTTGTATGTGAACTAGAATTGATATGTGTATCAGAATTGTGACTTTGATAAATTTGTATGTGAACTAGAATTGACATGTGTATCAGAATTGTGACTTTGATAAATTTGTATGTGAACTAGAATTGACATGTGTATCAGAACTTATTCTGAAACAGACATCCAAGCAGCAGAGAATGTGCTGATTGAAGGATTTACACAAGAAGAATCAAACCAAACATCCACTGTTATCATTATTGTCCTGTTTTAGGAACCACCGGAGAATCCCACAGGCTGTATCCGGACCGAGGGTTACCATGGACGCAAACCATTTGATATGTTCAGCTTCCTCATGTCAACGTATCGACGTAAACCAGACCCTGTCCTTGCTGGCAAGAGCGATGTAGAAATGAATCTTAAGTCTCAGAGGTCAGTACCAAGGTCAAAAGGTCATTTGATTCTGAAATTTTTGTTTCTTTCATAATGTCTGTTTCAAGGTTACAAGGTTTCATCAAGGTCAGACAAAGGTCACAATTGACACATACTAGATGCAGGTTAGAAGTTGTGATGTGGTGTAATATGAAAGTCATAGTTGAAGAACATAAGGTTATGGAATGTGATGTCGTATTTGAAGAACTGCATCACATGTTAATGTTGATTTCTTTATTTATTTCATTGTTTAATAAGTTAAATTAAGTTTAATGGATGTTAATCAAGAGAAAGAGGCAAGAAAAACAGCATCCTTTTGACTTTAAGTTTTCGATAAAACTAGTTTTGAACCATGTAAACAATCTTGCAGTATTATTAAAATTCAAAATGATTTGCACAGATGTATACTTGTTAATGTGTTAAAAAGTTGAAAAATTCTTACCACACCATGATATAGCTTCTTGGCTGTAAGAAAACTTTTTGTGTAGGAGGTACTTTGTCAAATAATATCGTTGTATTCTGCTCTGTAGTTTGACTTGCTCACACAGACGCTGTTAAAAACAAGACTTGGCAATTCCCAAATAATGCTGTTTGAGGATATTAATTTTGTAATTAAAAAATTACAGTGTTTTTCCCTCCAAAACTTGTCAAAATGATTTATAGAAGGTGATAAGGACTGTTGTAATTCACAAGTCTTGTTATTTTCATTGTTATAGACGAGCCACCAGCATGGACCTGCCTATGGCAATGAGATTCAGAAAACTCAAGGAACACGCACGGGAGGCTGTGGGTGTCTACAGGTAAATATCAATACACAGGGGAGGCTGTGGGTGTGTACAGGTAAATATCAATACACAGGGGAGGCTGTGGGTGTCTACAGGTAAATATCAATACACAAAGAGGCTGTGGGTGTCTACAGGTAAATATCAATACACACGGGAGGCTGTGGGTGTCTACAGGTAAATATCAATACACAAAGAGGCTGTGGGTGTGTACAGGTAAATATCAATACACACGGGAGGCTGTGGGTGTATACAGGTAAATATCAATACACAGCGAAGGCTGTGGGTGTGTACTGGTAAATATCAATACACACGGGAGGCTGTGGGTGTGTACAGGTAAATATCAATACACAGGGAGGCTGTGGGTGTGTACAGGTAAATATCAATACACAGGGGAGGCTGTGGGTGTATACAGGTAAATATCAATACACAGGGGAGGCTGTGTTTGTATACAGGTAAATATCAACACTCAGGGGAGGCTGTGGGTGTATACAGGTAAATATCAACACACCGGGGGGCGGGGGTGGGGGGGGGGGGGGTGTTGATATTTACTTGTGTATACAAGTAAATATTGATCAGAAAATTTACCATTATGTTTTAGTATTATATCCAGTTCATCATCTGATCAGATATTGGCTTAAATAGAAACAAGAACATTTAGTTTCTTACTGAATACATTTCTTTAAAACTCTTTCTTAATTCTTGAGAGGGACAACCATGAAATTAAACACCTAAACAGTATTTTATTAATATTAATGAGGATCTGATTACTACTGAATGGTCTGATTTTGTAGATCCTCCATACACGGCCGAGGCCTATTCTGTAAGAGGAATATTGATGGAGGAGAAATGATTATTGAGTACGCTGGAGAGGTTATACGATCATCTCTCACGGATAAGAGGGAGAAGTACTACGAGAGCAAGGTAAACCTAATAATTGTTTTATTGTCATGTCACTAATATAAGGACGGATTTTAATGGCTGTATGTCACAGCTTTAATAATTTTGCTGAAACTCTAAAGTTAGACAGGATTTTGCTGAGAAACTCTCAAGATAGACAGAATTTTTTTGAAACTCTCAAGTTAGACAGAATTTTGCTGAAAAACTCTCAGTTAAGACAAAATTTTTCAGAGAAATTTATTGATCATACAAGACCATTGTTGACAAAATAATGATAAATATATTTATTCAGGTAAGTTCTGAACTTTCATATATCACTTCCAGTTAGAAAATTGATATGTGACATTTCAAAGGCTAAATGGATACCTTCAAATGACCAGCCGAGCTGTTAGGGTAGTACAGTGGTAGTGCTCTTTCATCTAGCTGTCTGATGTTTGACTCTCAGAACAGATGTGAGAGAGTAAGGGATTATCTGAATGACCATGTTGGTTTTCCCTGCATACTGTAGTTTCCTCCTGTAATAAGACCCGTTGCATTTACATCCCAACCAACAAGAGTGAATAGTATAAGTTGAAATAACTTGTTTCACAATTGTCGTAAAATAGACAAAATTTATACATAAGCATATGTACACTCACAAATGAATTGTAGGAGACGGTAAGTAGTCAACAGGCACTCACACACAAAAAGTAAATTTAGTTGTGATCTATGAAAATCTATTCATTATATACTTACTAACCACAAGATAATGTTTAAATTTGGTTCTATGCCAATTCTTTTTTATGAAATTTGAGTTTGAAAAAGAATATATTTGTTCATTTTAAAAATTTTCAGGATTTAGGTTGGTATTACCAGTATAGTGAAATGTGTGATCTCTGTTTTCAGGGCATTGGATGTTATATGTTCCGTATCGATGACGTAGACGTTGTGGATGCCACAATGCGAGGCAGTGCAGCTCGCTTCATCAATCACTCATGTGAGGTAAGGCATTTACAACGCAGTGTTTTTTGAGAGAATTTTAAATTTTCTTGATTTGCCAAGTTTTAAAATTTCAAGTTGACTTTTAAATATCATTTGTTTTCAGAGGGCGACGGAAGGCTGGAGAATGTGAGCTGAATTTGCTTAATAGTTTCATTGAGTATAATCCTGCCATGTTTTGGAAAACTCTGTACATTTCTCTTATCTGTTTCAGCCTAACTGTTACTCCAAGGTTATTCAGGTGGACGGCAAGAAACACATCGTCATTTTTGCGAGTCGAGCGTAAGTGTTAGAAGTTCAGAAATCTTTGGTAGCAAGTTCTTGTTACATTTGTTATGTTTACTTGTAAGAATTGAATTTGATTCAAATAAATTTGTCAGTAAATGAAAAATTTTTCAAAAATATTGTATCAGTAATTTATGTTACTATGAAGTCATTAATTTTCGAGGTTATTTATTTTGGTTGATTTTGTGGTAAATTTTGTATCTGTGAATTTCTATATCTACAAAGTGATACACAGGACTTACAGTACTAGTGGATTTCATGAACAAGGTTTATCCTCAAAATGAGCATTGTTGAAAAACCGCGGAATTTGGTCTCTAGGAATATATACAGTTTTACTGTAAATATAAGGGTACTGACTTGTAATCAAAGAGCTATTCGCAGTCCTAGTGAAACGGAGAATGGAATCAGTTCAGAAAAATCAAGATTCTAAAAATTTGTTTTCGTATCATATTTTTCAGGATAAAACGGAGTGAGGAATTGACTTATGACTACAAGTTTCCAATAGAGGAAGTCAAAATACCATGTACCTGTGGACAAAAACGGTGTCGCAAATATCTAAACTGAGGAAGTCAAAATACCATGTACCTGTGGAACAAAAACTGGATCGCAAATACCTTAACTGAGGAAGTCAAAATACCATGCACCTGTGGACAAAAACTGGATCGCAAATACCTTAACTGAAGAAGTCAAAATACCAGGTACCTGGGGACAAAACTGGATCGCAAATACCTTAACTGAAGAAGTCAAAATACCATGTACCTGTGGACAAAACTGGATCGCAAATACCTTAACTGAGGAAGTCAAAATACCATGCACCTGTGGACAAAACTGGATCGCAAATACCTTAACTGAGGAAGTCAAAATACCATGCACCTGTGGACAAAACTGGATCGCAAATACCTTAATTGAAGAAGTCAAAATACCATGTACCTGAGGACAAAAACTGGATCACAAATACCTTAATTGAAGAAGTCAAAATACCATGTACCTGAGGACAAAAACTGGATCACAAATACCTTAATTGAAGAAGTCAAAATACCATGTACCTGAGGACAAAAACTGGATCACAAATACCTTAATTGAAGAAGTCAAAATACCATGTACCTGTGGACAAAAACTGGATCACAAATACCTGAATTGAAGAAGTCAAAATACCATGTACCTGTGGACAAAAACTGGATCACAAATACCTTAATTGAAGAAGTCAAAATACCATGTACCTGTGGACAAAAACTGGATCACAAATACCTTAATTGAAGAAGTCAAAATACCATGTACCTGTGGACAAAAACTGGATCACAAATACCTGAATTGAAGAAGTCAAAATACCATGTACCTGTGGACAAAAACTGGATCACAAATACCTTAATTGAAGAAGTCAAAATACCAGGTACCTGGGGACAAAAGCTGGGTCGCGAATACTTTAACTGAGAAAGTCAAAATACAATGTACCTGTGGACAAAAACTGGATCACAAATACCTTAACTGAGAAAGTCAAAATACCATGTACCTGTGGACAAAAACTGGATCGCAAATACCTTAACTGAGGAAGTCAAAATACCATGTACCTGTGGACAAAAACTGGATCACAAATACCTTAACTGAGAAAGTCAAAATACCATGTACCTGTGGACAAAACTGGGTCGCGAATACTTTAACTGAGAAAGTCAAAATACCATGTACCTGTGGACAAAACGGTGTCACAATTATCTGAACTGATGACATCTACAATGGAAAAAGGTGTTAAAAGTACCAAAACTACCTAAAAATACAGATACAAGACAAAGATACTGTTTGACAGTGGACAAAAAATTGTGTTACAAATACTGAACCAAGGACCTAGAAATAATATGTACAGATCAACCAAAACTCCCAAACGTGTCATCTGAGGAAAGCCATTAAAGATATAAATATTCTGGTTAGCATGTTTCACCATAAAAAGAGGTAACCTGTGGGTTTGTGGACAAAATTGACGTCCCTAATCTGGGGGCTGTTTCTATCACATCAAAGTCCTGTATGTTCAACAACTCCTAAGAACTCCCATGATGATTCTTACACACTTTGTACATCAATATCGTCAACAGACTTAATAGTAAGTGAATGATTCTAGATTTGACCTCTAGTCAATATGTTACAGCATTGTTGGGATGATGTACCAAGGTGATGAACTTTGACCTGTGGTTTTCAGAAGGAGATGGTGGAGTTGAACTCGACCTTTACTGCGTGAGACGCATTCTTGTCTGTGATATTTTATCTCGTGTGCGTATAAAAGGAAAAGGAACTAGACAAAGTGATGTTGATTATTGATCTATGAACTAAAGCAGTGAGATTATGAAAAAGTTTTTTTTTTTCTGTAAGTTTTATGATGTGCATTGAGCAGCTGTGGCATTATAAGAGTAGATGGAATTTGGTGCGCAAATCTTTTGAGAATTTCACTCGGTGATTAAAAAAGAAGGAATGTGTATTAAGTTAGATTGACTTTCAATATTCTATTTAGTCACATTTTTGTGAGTCATATACTTTGTATATGGAACCAACTTCCAAAGAAGTTTATTACAAATTATTACACAATCATATAACTTACAAGCATGAAAAAAACTTCGCTTGAATGTGCAATTTAATTACGACATTGACGAAAATCGGTATTGTTGATTTTGAACGATGTTTTTATCCAAATGACAATTTTTTTTGTAACACTGTTATAATGGCAATTTATGGTAACTGTTTTGATAATGTTATACTTCATATCTTGCTCCATTTCCTTAAGTTTTCTTGATATGTTCATTGAGATACAGTATTTCTCATCATTCTACTACAAAATTGGCCAGACAGGACACACAAGACCAAATTAAAAAAAAAATAATAAGATTGATTAAAACTTAAACTTTTTGAACTGGCCAGGTTCCTTGTACAGAGGCAGCTATTTCATGTGAAGGAATTGTGTGCTGAGCCAGAACCTATTATACATCATTCTGTTTAATATTTGTGTATTTCAAGAAATAAGGCCAAATGAAAAATAGATTTGTTTACTATCAATTCTGTTATACCTTTGTGCAGTCACTGAATATTCTCTGTTTTGAAATGTTATATTGTTTGCTTATGTCTTTAAACCTATAGCCTGTTTCATATTTTATTGTGTTGCCAGAGAAATTACATAGGAAAGAGGCTATCGTGTGGTCTAATATGAATCTCCTTTTCAAAATTTGAAGAGTATACCTTGAAACAAATATATTCATCTCTTGGCCTTTACTTGGTATCAGAAGTTTTTCTTGATCAGGAATAAGGATATAGATGTGGGGGTTTCTGTCTGCCTAATGTCTCATTGTAATACAGGTTTTAAGACCGACAAATTTTAATGTAAAGACAGACAAATTTTGATATAAGGAATACTGAAACGAGTGTATTTTTTTTATTAGAGTTACTTCCCTTTGTAAATGATCTAGATATACATGCCTAAGAATAATAATGTTTTTTTCGTCATCAAAGGACATTTAGTTTGTTTTTTATTAATAACTTTCTATTATCTTTTTTTTCAGTCTTACATTCAGATTTTTTCCGTTGATATTGTTCTCGACCTGATGTAAATATTTGTAAAAAACCGTTCTGACTAGTCGCTGTATATAATATGGTTTGACCATTATAGCCGTGAACAATGCAATAAAATATCACCCAACTATAGCTTGTGTTCAAAACAGTATAGTCTACACTGACATATGCCCATTCCTCGAGGGGAATCCCCTAAGGTGTTACAGGGTACAATGTTGATTTTCTAACTTTCACTTGTATTTATTTTTACATGTTTGATAATTGATTAGCTGTTCTTCTTGAAAATTAAACAATTATTTATTGAATAAGACATAGATCTTTGGTGACAGTATATTGAGGGAAAGGATAATGTCAAATGACAAGAAACAACGTAAAATTTAATTTTTTTTTTATAATTCCATGCTCTGTCTGAATTTCATTTTCTGGATGTTTGTGATAAAGTTGTTTAGATTAAGAAATAGTTCAACTTGTTAGTTAGAATATATTTAAGTATGTTTTTAATTACCATGTTTTGTACAAAAATCCTGGGCTTGTAATTCTGTCTCAATAGACATGTATTGTGTGTATATATGTATATATATATATCTGTGCGTGTAAATAGCCAAGGGAGACAACTCAGTGATACTTGTGACAGTTTGTCTTGTTTTAGCTCTATTGGTTATGATATAAATATTACTGTGAGAAATAGAAATATCTCTTATAATTGATTGTACTTCTGTTTTGTTTTAATTGAAGAGGAAAATCGATTGCAAAAACAAACAAAACAATACAAAAAGGGTGGGGAAAAGGTGCAATTGATATGTATCTCTCCCTCCCTCTCTCTCTTTCCTACTCTCTGTCTCTCTGTGGTGTGTGTCTTTCTCTCTCTCTCTCTCTCAGTTTCTCTCTCTCGTTCCCTCCCTCCCTCCCCCTCTCTGTCTCTCTGTGTGATATGTGTCTTTTTCTCACTCCCTCCCTGTCTCTCTCTGTGTGATGCGTCTCACCCCCCTCTCCCTCTCTCTCTGTGTGATATGTCTTCCCCCCCCCCCTCTCTCTCTCTCTCTCTCTCTCTCTATCTCTCTTTCTCTCTCTCGCTCTCTCTCCTCTCCTCTCTCTCTCTCTCTCTCTCTCTCTCTCTCTCTCTATCTATCTCTCTTTCTCTCTGTGTGTGGTGTGTCTTTCCCTCTCTCTCTCTATCTCTCTTTCTCTCTGCTATACTTGTGGAATGTAGTAGTGATTCACATAAAAGAATCTTTGTTTCCTATAAGCACAATTTTTTACCCAATATTCATCATCAAACTTCCTGTGTCTTTTAGCGAATAAAATTTTTTTGCTTGCGACCCACGACTTGAATGCATGAAATATTAATGTAATTATCACTGTCCACAATAAGATCTCTTTTCGGCGATATCAGGAATAACATTCAAAGGATCTAATCGACCTGAGCCCATCTTGACAGTGTGTAGCCATCTTAACTTCCTTCCTAACTGAAAATATCTTCAAATATCAACAAAGACTATAATAGATAAAAAGAAAAGTTAATTGAAAATGAGGCTACATATTGAGTGCATTAAGGTCACACGAGTGACTGAAATAAATCTAGAAATGTTTATATCATTTGAGTGTGAGTCAAATACTAGTTGTATCTTACGTTTGTATGGTATGAAGTGATTTTTTCCCTGAAGAAGATATCATAAAACTCACTTACGTAATATAATGTTTATTGGGACTTCATTTCACATTAAAACGACGAGTTCAACTGAAGATAGTATCGAGGCCCGGTGATTATGATGTTCTGAGGTTTGTGATGCGGGCGGACTGTGTCTTATTTCAACTGCAGTGATAATTTTGTAGGTTTTAATCCGAAAATATCTGTAAATTTTGCGCGAAGTGATGTGATGCATTTGTTAAGAAGCAAAGAGCCCTTCTTTTATCTTCTAAAACCACAGGGACTTGGCACAAAGACCCCCAACCCACGGTCCTTTTATATATAGATACAGAAATTTATATAAATTGACCGTGTGCTGGAAATTTCTGCCAAGTCCCTGTCTAAAACGGCATATAACAAAAAATGTATTAAAAAAACAGCTTGAAAAAAGATATGAAAATTAGACCCAAAAATATTAGGATTAAATAATATAGGATCCTACCATCTTCATTTAATGTTTAGAGATGAAAACATTTTGGCCATTCGATGAAGGTCACGACAGGGTTAATGAGGTTAAAAGGTCGACGTCCTGAGAAGAGTGTCTCCCAACAGAAGATCGCGGGTAAAAGGTGACAGGAATTGTTTTTAACATATATGTTTGACCTCCAGTGACTGTGCTGCCTAGCAACAGCGGAAGTGCTTCAGTTTGATTAAAACCAAGGCCACGACGTTTTAGGCCGGTCGATGACATTATGTATACGCAATGTGTATGATCAGTCAAATAGAAAAGAAGAGGAAAGTATAGTTTACATATGTCAGTTGCTGGTCCTCTCACCTCTAAGTAAATATGTGAAAGTTTTGAAAAGCGTCCACGCTGTTTTTTTTTTTTTTTCTATCTCACTTTGAGTTTGAGTCGTAAAATCATAGTTTCTGGTAAACTATCCCTTAAATACAACAGATACACTGTTGTATCAATTTCGAAGACGGTTGAACTTTCGGTTCGTTTGGATAATCCAGTATCGCGACAGTCGAACTAGGACTTTTCTTCTAGTGGAATGCTTTCTAGAGGTGTTTGCAACTTTCCTTCAGTCCATTCTTGAACATTCGTGATAATTTCAATGTAAACAAGTGCGCGTGAATTTTTACATGTGGCATCGGATTGCCCCTCCCCCGTTAGTCCTTCACATATAAAGCCATTTTTTGCCACAAAAGAAAAGTTAATTCCAAACTTCCATCCATGAGTTAATAATGCGCATGAAAAATGATTAAATTTTTTTCCACCGTGATTATTACCTGGCAGGCAAGGTTTTGTCGGAAAACGTTAAAAAAAAATTCGTGGTTCGTATCTATTGAAACGTTTTGGAGATTCTCGGATATTGAGATTAGGTTACTATATCACCGTATACATAAGAATTAAATAACAAATATTTTAATTATCAATTATATATTGTTGTTTTAATTAATTGAATGTTCTGAAATTACATTAGAAATTCGGCCCAATACGTTATGAATAACGTCATGGAAACTTCAGCGACAACACTCGTGTACAAATGGGTTAACGATAGCTTGTTGAATTTTCAAAAAAAAAATATTTACTATAAATATTACCTTTTATGATTTTATCCTTTTTGTATCTTATGAAAATTAACAGTGGTGATGTAACGCCGCACTGATAGAGACGGATGTCAGTTTAAAGCTGAGCCATACAATTTTTATCTTTCATACTACAGTGCATATACATGGTGTTTACAGATTATACACAGTGTGACGAAAATAGAGGGCGATTTTAACCGGTAATGGAAACTCGCAGTAACATCACTGCGGCCACAACTGCACAACCAATCTGGTTTGAACCAGTTCTGACATCCACATTTTACACTACGCCTCACTGTCAAATCCATGATCACATGAGGTCAACCAGTGCGGATTTAATGGAATTCATTTTCGACAGAGTGCGTATCTAATTAAAAGTCATTGTGTATAGCACGATTCGGTCATTAATATATAACTTAGCTGATTCCAATTCCATTGTGACCGAGACATACGTTCCAAACCCTTACATGTACTGCTGTTTAATGCATGTCGGAATTGAAATATTATTTAGTAACCCTTTCGTGTCCCGTACTCTCCAGAGCATATGATTTGCATATAAAGTGACCTATTTATAGCCAAGAAAACAGCTGATTTTCACCGGCGTTACTGAAGCAAGCGGTCAGCAACCGTAAGCTTGACCATATCAGCCGAAGAACAGACGGACATAGCATCTCCTCCATCATGTAAGTGTAATATTCTCCATACTTATCCAAAAATTACTTTTTAAAAATATTTTCTGGTTTTGTTGTATCTATGACGCTATTTTCTTAATATAGGTACCTTTGTTTACCTTAACCATTTGTTCCGCGCGAGCTCACGAGAGGCTAATTATACCCGTAATAAGGACGATCTCATCAGCACTGAGATAACATATTGATAACGATTTTATGGTTTTTGACGTACCAGTCAGGAAGCGCTCAGCTCTGTAACGATTCTAATTCTGTTGCTGAATAATGCTGATTTTACTATGTATCATTGTTCGTGTCCATACATATTCAATTTTCTGTTACAATTAGTATTCGATTTATTGCACGTGGGCGATGTTAGTCAGAGTCAGACAATTATTAGTCAATACATTTAAATTTCCAAGAATAGAAACATTTTTATTAATTTATCAAAAACGACATGTCACGTGTTGCGAGAAATGCTTTGAGTACAGAATGTATGATTCAAGAAAAGATGTGTATTCGAAGGTTTTTTTTTTCAAAATGAAAATTCTCGTTTCTTTCATCTCTCTTCAGGTTTAAATCGTTCATAATATGTCATATAATGTATGTTCATGTAGTACACGTGACACCGTGACATCCTCGTGTGAATCTACACTTCAGAATTTGTATCAGCATGGTTGACATCGTGTAATATTGTTAGTGTGAACTTTAATCTATAAATAAGACAGAAGATCGACCTAGGCTTGATATAGTTCGACCTAGACTTACAAAAGATCTCTCACTTTATCAATATCCACTTTTCCATACGATCACCTCTCTGCTCCAGCTAGAAGATTTTCTCATCTATATTTACCGGTATTGTTTTTAAGCACACACCCCCTCCCCCCTCCCCCACCCACCAGCCACCACCACCCAACAACTCACATTATTGACCTAAATGTTTATTATTGAAAAATATGTTTCGTATAATGTTGCCATGTTATAGATATGACACGCATTATTGCTTGGTTATGTTATGTGAGATAACAGTTTTGGAATGACTTGGGGATATTCTGTCGTTAACTCGGACAGATGGTATCGGAGATTTCGACCAGGTTCTGAAATTTCACATTGTTTGAATGCTTTATGGTGTTATTTTATAAATTGAAAAAGGTGAAACGAACTTGACTTATTTATCGCCGGAAGTGTTTGTTTTACCCGACACTATAACAACATTTCAACAAGATTGCACTTTAAAGGTACAAATTATTAGTCCATTATCAACTGGCCTTTGGACGCTGCCTTTCAAATGAAAAAATGCAGCCCAGGTACCCGCCCCCTTCTCCATTAAAACCCTCCCACAACCCTTACACCTTAAACTATATATAGGCATCAAAATCACTGAAACGATTGGGGGTATTTTTTTTATTATTCGCTCGCTCAACTGGCCCGTTTTGAATAATTTATTACCACGTCTTTACTTCGTCTGTAGTCCTTAACCGCTTCCAAGTTATTATTACAACTGTAGGTTGATATCGTTAATGTATGGCCGTAGTTTCGTAATGATCATTATTTATAGACGTAGTTTCGTACTCGGCACTGCAGTGATTATTGACCCTGTTGTGACATTGTCCGTACGGTCATTTGTGTCCTTGCTATAACACCATCTGTTTACAAGCAGCTTACCTCCAGTCTGTTGACTTACTACAAACTCTGGTATAGTATCGATCTCTTATGATCTAAATTCTATACGGAGGTGATCGAACCTCGGAAACGTTACGTAATCACGTGATTGTGATCAATACGGTTTGTGATGCTGAGGTGGAATGTCACAAAAGGGGACTGTTGCTAAGTAAATTCTAATTTGACGAGCAATCGTCCAATCTTCTTCGATTTGGTTTTGAGGTGAAGTCCTCACAACAGCCAAGAAGTATGAGGAGGGTATATATGAATGATGGGACGTCGTAAGGGAGATTTCATTGTCAAATGAAAGTAGTTTACTTTGGTTATGTTCTTGAAGTGAGTGTAAACATAATGTCTCCTCACACTATGATGACCTTATCTCAGATCTCATACGTTCCCTCTGGGCACATTATACCGACATAGGACTAGTCATGGACCTTAGTGTAAACTTACGTTCAGCTGAGCAAATCATGGACCTTAGTGTAAAACTTATGTTAAGCTGAGCTAATCATAGACCTAAGTGTAAAACTTATGTTCAGCTGAGCTAATCATAGACCTAAGTGTAAAACTTACGTTCAGCTGAGCTAATCATTGACCTAAGTGTAAAACTTATGTTAAGCTGAGCAAACCATGGACCTTAGTGTAAAACTTATGTTAAGCTGAGCTAATCATAGACCTTAGTGTAAAACTTATGTTAAGCTGAGGGTTAAGGGTGCAGTGGGTGTATTTTTACTGATTAGTCAGTCCACTCATTCGGGAAGTAGTACCCATATCCTTGCTCGCATAGACGGACTCCCAATACTGGACCAAAAGCTCGGGTTGTATCGACGTCTTAAGAAACAAATCTTCTCTGCAGATTATAGATATGAAGCACTGAGAGATCGTGTGATTTACTGTTGCTGTAGTAATGACTGAGGCTTTATTCGATAGCGTGGCGCCAACAACAAATTATTAATATAGTTGCTGGGAAAGCGCTGCTTGCCTGTCAGCCCATTTTCCTATAGCATCTGTCGAGGAATCACAGATCCTGGGTTCGAATCTCGATTTGGCCAGACTGAAAGTTTTCTCTGTTGTTAGGTATTAAGAATAATACAACATAATCACACACTTAAGGGAGGTTGTTAATGTCCCATGTTATGTCAATGAGGCTGAATACATTCAGGTAGAAGGAGAGACATGTAGCAGACCCCAGATTTTACGAAGGAAATTTGAAATAATGAGGTACATGGTCTCCAGATATTGCTTCTGCGAGATCCTTTGTCCTCGGCAAAGCTTTTCATATACTTATTTTATTTAATACCTTCGTTTATGATAAGGTTACATGACAAATTTTGACTTCTAAATGTTGAAAACGATACAGGCAGTGTTACTATTTCCCTTAGAGTGTAAGTCTCCTCAGTGACAAACATTTTCCCGACCCTGTTTGAACCCAGTTTTGATAGACTGTATATTGGATCTATGAGCTAATCCGAGACCAATGCATGCCTTTCATAATTTCTATCGTACTTCACTAGCAACTTTAATTAGAAGATGGATATGAAGGTACCCATCCCTATAGACTTTATGAGATAAAACTCGATTAAACGACTTTTACATTGAATAAATATACTTACACCACAACAAACACATGAGAACACATATGTCACCACATAACTTTAACTACCAGAGTCACAAAAAGCAGGACTTCCTATAAGTTTCCAAAGTAGTTAACCACTACCACCTGTAGGTGGCGTTGTTTTTATTACAACCAGTTATATACACTTGTGCCATCTGTAGATGGCGCCACTTTGGGCTATCCAAATGTGCAATTGTCATCTTGTAGATGGCGCCACTTTGGACTATCAAAGTGTGCAAGTGTCATCTTGTAGATGGCGCCACTTAGTGCTATCCAAATGCACAAGTGTCATCTTGTAGATGGCGCCACTTTGGGCTATCCGAATGTGCAAGTGTCATCTTATAGATGGCGCCACTTAGTACTATCCAAATGCACAAGTGTCATCTTGTAGATGGCGCCACTTTGGGCTATCCAAATGTACAAGTGTCATCTTGTAGATGGCGCCACTTTGATTATTCAAGTAGATGTATGGCACCGAGGATACTGGACATTTGTCTAGGAAATGAACTAATAAAACAATTTATCGATATTGATTTTTCCCGACAGACACTGTAACGGCTCCCACGGTGTGATTATCATAATAGGTCGTAGACTTTTATAAGTCTATCCGGAATTGGATTCTCGTGCAGATACGTCTGTTCTGACACCTTAGTGGTGACGAAGCCAACAGGAGTCATGTTTTAGAATCTGGCTTACAGAAATCGGTAGAGGGTTTACATCCACGATTCAGTCAGGGACATATGAAAATGAAGGTGGACGTCAAAGGAAAAGCAAGGAAGGAAAATACGAATATTTTGGAACTGAAAGAGATATATCATTTTCTGTTTCTACATTGATTTAAAATGTAGATATAAGCTAACACAAAATTTTAAGAAGGAGGCACTCTTGACAAAAGCGATTATAAAATTACATTCCTTCTTACAACCTGTAAAGTAAAGACACAACCAAACGGCTGAGATAATTAATCTGGGCCCACTGTCGCTGACCAAATGAACACTTGTCAAGTCGATTTAGAGATGATAGCCGAGTTACCATGTGATACATGATGTCTGCCTAGCTGTGTAAACATGCACCAGAATATTGATGAAGAAATAATTTGATGGACTGACGTGAATACTTCACTTTTTTCATTATACCACATACCGGCAGATTTCTCTCACTGGAAAATCATGTCACGAACACCATCCCTTGTGGGCACAGTGTTTTACTAAGTCTCAATTTAGGCAGGGACTTAGTTCGTATGAAACGCTGCCTTATTGGTCGATTCAGTTGCACGAGACATTTAACGAAAAAAAAAAACAATCGCATCTGCAGTTGAAGCACTACTTTGAAATATTATGGAGTAGTAGAGTGGCGAAAGAGGTAATAGTGCTATTGTATTTCAACTCTGTTAATAATACATGTGTGTCATTTATGCTTAGAACAACATATGACATTTGTTGTAAATATTTGTCGCGACTCTAAACCAGTCGGGACAATTATCGTATCGATTTGTGTAGAAATCCAGCAGGGGTCAAGGGTCAGGGGTCAAAAATCATGTCTTGTGTCTCATCCCTTGATATCTTTTAAGTTCCCCGGTGCGACTCTGATTTCATTTCACTCAATAAATCGAATTTCATTTAAAAAACAGCATCGTGAAAATAGAAATGAACGTCAGCGCATGTTGAACTAAAAATATTCATGAAAAATACGACTTAAAAATAAAAGGAAACGATATCTGTCCATTCGTGTCCAGTCCTGTGAAGAAGGACTGGTGATTGGCTATTTCTGTCTCGGCATGTTTCAATATCTAACAATGCTTTTTCCGCCTTAGCGTATTCATGCCTGTCTCAAAATGGAGCCGGTTTTAGTGAAGCCAATTTGTCGGTGTGAATTTCGAATTGATGGATATTAGAATGATCTTATTACTGCCAGAAGTTATTCATAAGCTGTATTTATTTCACAGTCGAATTTTCCCTTCATATTTTCGAGTCGTTCATTACCCTGCCGTTGACATCTTCAGTTTCTGATGATGTAGTGGATAAAAGTAACCGACATTATCCGGTGACGTCAACAATTAATCCGCTTCATTAACCAAGTCATCGGTTCAAATAATTAAAGTCATCACAATTTTAAACATTATACAATTTGAAGTCTAAACAAATTATGAAAATCTTTATGGAAATTTTTGCGTTGTGTTTCTGAAAACCTTAGCCAAACCGTATAAAGTGACAGTAAAAACACCCCTTTTATTTTTAAATTACACATTTTAACAATTTTACTGCCAATTTCGTTTTCTGAAATTACAAATTTAAAGTTAAGTTTTCTGGAGAGGAATCGTATTTGACATCAAGTGAGTTAGAGGAAAAAAGAAAATTAATTATGGAGCTATCTTGCAGTATGGCTTTCCCGCGTTGTTGAAAATGTGATGACTCATCACATCAAACGATTTGGCGTCCGGAAGGTCGAGCCATTAATATTTAAATAATATGATACATGATAATATCGCTATTTTTATTTTATCGATTTACGGTGTTGTTATTAATCATATTTTAACAGTGACCTGAACTAAGCTTATATCTAGGTGTGTTCATATTCAAAATCAAGCTCAAATACGGTGTCGCGTCGTTACTGAACAAAACAATAACAACAACACGCGGAAACCAGAACGCGGTCACGTGGTGTTGTTTATAACATGGGGGGAATTCCGCCGCACTGTTTACATTTTTTTTGAAGGGTGAAGGTCGTTCTGTTACCTAGAGGTGCGGTAGTTGAGCGTATATCCGATTTTTTAAATAAACAGCAGTACCATAGCGTTAATGTTGAAAAGACGCAGTTCCCGGACAAAGAGAGGACAATGCGATGATTAACAGAATTCTGCGATTGATATGAAACGTTTTGACTATTTTTAGAAATTACATACGTGTGTTAGACCGTTAGCCGAAGACCCTAAACGACGACGGTTTCTCGTGACTGGATGTAAGAGTTGTTGATAAAGACTTGAAATTGTTATTTCAAACCACAACAAACAAATTGTGCTAAACACGACAATAGAAAATATAGTATATAAATTATCTGCTCCTCGTCAAACGACGACAGACTTTTGTGTACTTGTGTCAAAACAAACAGGAGAATCGGGACGGAAATCTTTCTTGACTGATGAGGTGAGCTATAATGTTGTTTATGTTTACAGCGGATTGCTGTTTTTTTTTATTTGAGTGATCCACCGGTACTTGTGGTGACAGTTGGCTGTCATGAGTCAGAGAAACTTATTTCAGTGTAAATTTCTGGAAGTCTCTTTCAGATGACTTTATTGTGAATTATTTGCATCAATCACATCAAATTGAAAGTTTTATACTTGCTGTTGAAATCGATTACAGTAACCTGATGTATTTGATGTAAGATATTTCCGTGACACCCACGGTATCAGTCAGCTCAGTCAATTCTTACTTCAGCAACGGTATGTTGTGATGAAATGAAAACTAGTTCATGTGTTGACAAGTCTCGCGCGACTACGTTTTGATAGAAGCGTAATGTCTCTGACCTCACAAGTTTAAGTGAATCTGTTGCATGTAATGGTTTATCGATTAGAAGACATGTTTACTTGACTATATATATATGTTTTGTTGTGATATTAGTGTGTGACAGAGGCAGTGTTTGTTAAATTACGCTGTCATGGTCCTCTCATTCACAGCCTACCCACTCATGCATTCATTCATACCCGATCACTTCACCGAAGTACCGATTTTCAACCATATACTTACCTCGCCCTAACCTTACCCACATATTAAATTCCTCTTCCACACCCCCATTAACACATTGCTTCTAAGGTCACCCGTGCTTTCGACCCCACTCTGCCCTCCTCCGACACACCTAATACTGACCCCACCCTATCTCCCTCCACACTCCTCTTCACACAGGGATTTGTCACAAACTTCTAACCCCATGGTCCGACCCCACTCTGCACTCCTCCGACACACCTAATACTGACCCCACCCTATCTCCCTCCACACTCCTCTTCACACAGGGATTTGTCACAAACTTCTAACCCCATGGTCCGACCCCACTCTGCACTCCTCCGACACACCTAATACTGACCCCACCCTATCTTCCTCCACACTCCTCTTCACACAGGGATTTGTCACAAACTTCTAACCCCATGGTCCGACCCCACTCTGCCCTCCTCCGACACACCTAATACTGACCCCACCCAATCTACCTCCACACTCCTCTTCACACAGGGATTTGTCACAAACTTCTAACCCCATGTGTCGTTTTTTCAGCATCTTACTTACATTTGCGTGTTACATCTATAAAGGAAAACACGTCCTGTGCCCTATTCTCTAACCCAATTTTAGACCTGTTCTACCTCCTAACCGTCTAGCTTGCCAAATACGTCCCGGTTTGTGACAAAAGTTATTGTAACAAATTTGGCTGCTGTTACAAATTGGCATGCTAGTCTGCCCTCCAATACACACCGCTAAATTTCCTCATCATATTCATTATGAGCGTTGACCTAGATGTTAACAAACCATGGCTGATGTGACTGAAGGTACAGGTAAATACAAGTATGTTTGTTTACCTGTTGACAATTTAAAACACACGACACACGTGTTATCACCACCACCAACAACATCTTAGTTTACTTGACCCGAAAGTTCAAAATGAGATATTATATTTTTTTTCGTCTGTCGTCACCTTAACAGCAACCACTGGACCGATTACTGAGTTCTGCCATCAGAGCCAGCTTCGCAACGTATTTTGGTTGCTTAAAAGTGGCAGACGTTTACAAGTTCGTTTGTGAGTTTGTAAATGTGTTCGTGCTAAAACTGTTTGATATGGTTGTCACGTTCAGTTTTTGTGATGTCTATTTATATTCACACGAATAAAATCATATCATCTCGTGCCAATAATTTTATGCATGGTTGATTAATAGAATAAATTACTTTGACCACTATTCAATGTAGATGTGTCATTTTATTAAAGCAAAAGTTACTAATCAAATAATTTGGTCATTGTCATAGGAACGGTATTGTATAAAGAGAGACAGTACCTAAAAGTAAACTAGAGTAAAATGGGAAATAGACAGCATTTGTCATGATCTCTTTTCATCCTCTATTTTCTGTGCTAAAACTAAATCCTAAAAGGATATAAAACGCGAAATAACAGTTATTTTTTCATTAGATTTATCTACTGTTGTAGTTTTTTCTGATAAACGACATTTTGCTGTGTGATGTACCTAGCGCCATATTGTCTCCATAGCAGTCTTATTTGGACATTGATGTTGCTGTAATAATGTGTCATAACCTAAGAGCGATAAGACTATTGCAGAATAGTATTTATCTGAATAATGTTTTTATATCATGGATATGTAAGTCCACTCCTTACTGCAAATTTTGCCGCCATTTTGTCTCGCGGCTGTTTTCCCGGGAGAGATCGAGCACCGATACTGACGCAAGCAACAAATTATAAGCTGACGTCACAAACCGTCTCTTAGAGATTGGTCAACTTTGAAAACAAGTTTACTCCTTAAATTATCAAAAACATCACATGTGTGCTTTTAAATATTTTGTCTGAATTATTATTTTCAAACCAGAACATTTGTATAGGAATATGTTTTTTCATCTTTAATATCGAAAAAAAGTTTTGTGTGTTGTTAAAGTTGGCGATACTTTTATAAATCCAGCTCAGACAGGGTTACTTTCGTAATATGACTATTATCCTGTCTTACATATGATACGTTAACTGGTTATAAAGTTAACTCATACATTACACGATAAATCTGATAGCACCTTTATTAGAATTAACATCCACTACGTACGTAATGAGACACATATCAAGCATTGTCAGCTTAATGACCCAATGCTTTAAATATTACATAACTTAAAATCAGATTCAGGCAAGAAAGCCTATACAGAACGGATTATGTACTTTTTTTATATTAAGCCATACCTGAATTAAATCGACATGTGGCACTCTACCTGAATATGTATCATAAATTATGTCAGAGGCACAGAACGAGATAACTTCAAGAAAACATATGCGAAACTGGAATAAGGGCGACATAATGCATTAATTAATGCGTAAAACGAGACTTTCCGACAATTTCCTCAGTGGTACTGACGTCACTTCCGCTATCAATAATGCCTTAGATTGATCTTTTTTCTACCTAAAATGGAATGAACATTTTATATTTTTGGTAAATAAAAATACATAAAATCAATGGAAAAATTACTTGATTTTGCAGTTATATCGCCGACTCGAACATGTGCACGTATTCTCACCTCTACGTCATGGATGAATACTAATATTTGGTTATGTGGTCAGTTCTCAGGCTCCTGCAGATTTCTACCATAACATACAGGTGTTATACAACTCCCAAGGCTTCGACTGATAATAACGCTTGTTGTTAAACAATAAATTTAGTCCATTTATTGGCTGACTCGCAGTGAACTTTGACCCGTAATACGTCATGCTCGTCTACATCATAATGCCGAATACCGACACAGACCATGAAGACTGACAAACGTTTGAATTCATATCGATTTGTATTTTAGGACCGATTGATGGTGTCACATTAACATTGATAAGTTCACTGATAACAGACTCGTTTCTTATTTTCCAAAAGTTATAAAATTATTCGGTGAAGCTCATGTTTTTGTAATTAAAGAAAAGATCGATTGAAAGAAATGTACAACACCTGCTTGTTGTACAGCCTTTATCCTTTATCAGATTGACAGAACGCTACAACGAAGCAACGTCATATCGCTAGAACAATTGACTTTTGTTCGAAACTATTGTTATTTCTTTGTGTGTGTGTGTGTGTTTATGTTAAGTTCAAAGGTCATTTGATGTATATGATTTTAGACCAGTGCCCCTTAATAGGACAATTACTACACTTAACTTCCCACTTACAGCCCGCGTGCCCTCTCTATACTTTGTACTGATATACATGTAAGTTTTAAGATCTAAATAACATATCACACATATCTCCCGAAGAGAGGAGATCCGGTGTACTTTGGCTTATCGTCACGCACCGCCATCTTTACTTGTTAAGTTGTATTCCTATGTCTGGTCTTCTTGCGAGGAAGATCTAACTATAGTACCACCAAGACATGGAGATGAAAACGTGCAATAAATATCTTGTTCAAATTACTTTTTTTTCAAAAATGACATTTTCATGTAGCTGATCGTTTCTTTCAACTATGTATTTTGAAGCACTATGAATATTTTGCCATATAAAGACGGTGAACAGATATCTGTTTAAATGCTAAACGAAGATAAATTAAGACCATGATATGTAGTTATTTCTCACTTAGTGAATGAAACCGCAAATTCCTAATAATGGCCCTTACATTGACTTAAGTCATGATGATTTAAGGTAAAATATCAAAATCCTTGGTTTTGGTCAAAGCTTTGTCCTGGATATTCGTGGGTAGCACAAAGAGATAGACAATGAAAGGTACGCTATTACGTCATACAGCATTGTCCAAACTATTGTGATTATTTCCTAATTTCCTCCAAGTTGAAGAGTTACACACACTAGATGTTCGGAGAAACATATTCTATATGATCATGTATCAGAACCGTGTGATATAAACACTGGACAGAGTTAATGTTGTCAGTTCTCATACCCATTTGATTTCATGCATTAGATGTATGGACAAACTCAGGTTATGAGGTCAGTTATTGAACCCTGTCTAGATATAGGTTTTCAGGCCCTTATGGTATAATGTATGCTAGGTATAAGAACAATTCTCAGGCTCCAGTGATATAATATTCCAGATATTAGGACAGTTATCCGACCGCTGTGATATAATATTCTAGATATTAGGGCAGTTATCCGACCCCTGTGATATAATATTCTAGATATTACGGCAGTTATCCGACCCCTGTGATATAATATCCTAGATATTAGGGCAGTTATCCGGCCCCCATGGTATAACATCATAGATATTATGAATTTCCCAGGCCCTTGTGATATAATATCCTAGATATAAGGACGGTTCTTGGTCCCTGTGATATACAATCCTTGATATAAGGACAGTTCTCCGGCCCCTGTGATATAATATTCCAGATATTAGGACTGTTCTTCGGACCCTGTGATATATGATTTTAGATTTTAGGACAGTTCTCCGGCCCCTGTGATATAATATCCTAGATATAAGGACGGTTCTTGGTCCCTGTAGTATAATATCATTGATATAAGGACAGTTCTCCGGCCCCTGTGATATAAAATTCTTGATATAAGGACAGTTCTCCGGCCCCTGTGATATGATATTATAGATATTATGAATTTCTCCGGCCCCTGTGATATAATATCCTAGATATAAGGACGGTTCTTGGTCCCTGTGATATAAAATCCTTGATATTAGGACAGTTCTCCGGCCCCTGTGATATAATATTCCAGATATTAGGACTGTTCTTCGGACCCTGTGATATAATATTCCAGATATTAGGACTGTTCTTCGGACCCTGTGATATATGATTTTAGATTTTAGGACAGATCTCCGGCCCCTGTGGTATAATATCATTGATATGAGGACAGTCCTCCGGCCCCTGTGATATAAAATCCTTGATATTAGAACAGTTCTCCGGCCCCTGTAATATAATATATTAGATATAAGGACAGTTCACCGGCCCCTGTGATATAATATATTAGATATTATTAGAGTTCTCCTGCCCCTGTGATAAAATATTCTAGATATCAGGAGAGTTCTCCGGCCCCTGTGATATAATTTTCTAGATATAAGGACAGTTCACCGGCCCCTGTGATATAATATATTAGATATTAGGAGAGTTCTCCGGCCCCTGTGATAAAATATTCTAGATATTAGGAGAGTTCTCCGGCCCCTGTGATATAATTTTCTAGATATAAGGACAGTTCACCGGCCCCTGTGATATTATTTTCTAGATATCAGGAGAGTTCTCCGGCCCCTGTGATAAAATATTCTAGATATTAGGACAGTTTTCTGGCACCTCTGATATAATATTCTAGATATTAGGACAGTTATCCGGCCCCTGTGATGTAATATTACAGATATAAGGACTGTTCTCCGGCCCCTGTGATATAAAATCCTTGATATTAGGATAGACAGAGGTTATGCACCTACTTAGATTATTTGTATCAAAATATAATCGGGACTTAAAGGTCAACAACTGTACAGAATTATCTTTATATAGTCCACTGTGGTTGTTGTGTGCCAGGCAACATGAACTCGTCTACATACTTTTTACTCTGGTCACAGACTGATATAACACGATATAACGTATCAATCAAATTCTTCTGATAGGAACTAGCATTGCCCTTCTCGCTCGTCTCTTCAGGTAGCCACATTTCCCCCACACCTCTTGTCTCGAACTCTCTCATTTTTTCCTACACGCCTTCCCACTTTGCTTTGTCCACCCTCACGCCCCTCCCTTCCATTCGTCCTGTCCTTATCCCGCACCTCTTCTTGCCCCCCTCCCCCACTCGCCCATTCCCCACTCACTCCTCCCCTCCTCCACCTCCCAACACACTTCGGTTTCCTCTCGCTCCTCGTCATTTACTCCCAAACACCCCTCCCCTTACTCTCACCCGCCCCTCCTTTCCACTTGCACATCTTCCCTCTATTAAAGATAAAGGAAGGACAGTGAGAAAAGCTAGAGGAAAACGAGACGAAGTAGAGAGAGGAAAGCTAGAGGTAAAGGACGAAGAGGTAGGGAGAGGAAAGTTAGAGGTAAGGGACGAAGAGGTAGAGAGACGAAAGATAGAGGTAAAGGACGAAAAGATAGAGAGAGGAAAGCTAGAGGTAAAGGACGAAGAGGTAGTGAGAGGAAAGTTAGAGGTAAGGGACGAAGAGGTAGAGAGAGGAAAGATAGAGGTAAAGGACGAAAAGATAGAGAGAGGAAAGATAGAGGTAAAGGACGAAGAGGTAGGGAGAGAAAGCTAGAGGTAAAGGACGAAGAGGTAGAGAGAGAAAGCTAGAGGTAAAGGACGAAGAGGTAGAGAGAGAAAGCTAGAGGTAGAGGACGATGAGTTAGGGAGAGGAAAGCTAAAAGTAAAGGACGAAGAGGTAGAGAGAGGAAAGTTAGAGGTGAAGGACGAAGAGGTAGAGAGAGGAAAGTTAGAGGTAAAGGACGAAGAGGTAGGGAGAGGAAAGCTAGAGGTGAAGGACGAAGAGGTTGGGAGAGGAAAACTAGAGGTAAAGGACGAAGAGGTAGAGAGAGGAATACTAGAGGTAAAGGACGAAGAGGCAGGGAGAGGAATACTAGAGTTAAAGGACGAAGAGCTGGAGTGATGATTTTATGTAAGAGGAAAAGAACGTAGAGCGATCCTTGAAAATGACGAATAGGTGAAGTGATGATTGAATGCTAGAGGGAAAAGAGAAATAGGTAGAGGAAAATGACGAAAATTGACGGATTTATTGATCAGAATAAAATATGAGACCGGAGTCGATATGAGCGTTTAAGCTGGCATTGTGCTAGTTATAATAACATCCCCGTGTGTCTTGTCAAGTTTATGTGGAAGTGAGTCTCCGCGTATCTTTTTAAAACACGTGTTTTAGTATCTAGAAAATTTTATTGCCTTTTTGAATCTCTGTGGAATTTATGATAGTTGTTGAAATGTGTCTACTCATGCCTTTTTAATTTTATTTTTTGATCTAATAAATTTTGAAATGCCATTTTGGAATTGAAAACAGTAGTTAAGAGCTGACCTGATTAACGGTGTGTTCTGTTGAATGTTAGTCATCAAATTCAGATGGTCTACTAAAGTATAACAATAGACTGGTTTAAAAATATTTCCGGTAACTCAAGTTACGAACAGGTCTGACTCAAAGTCATATGGCACGTGAGGTAATTGTGTGACTGTACAGCTTTAACTCGCGTATGTACACGTGCGCGAATTGTACTAATGGGGTTTGCGGGGGCAGGTACATAGGGTACTAAATTTATCATCGGGATATCATATAGTATCTCGCCTTGGGAGGGACTTTTGAATTGGTCACACAGACTATGATAAGGGTGCATTTGATTGACAACTGTTTCTGATAGGACTCCGCAGTTTCTTTGCTGGGTGTTTATTGGTTTGTGTCACAACACTTGAACGTCCGATTACCAGGTCAAGGCTAGCTATACGTCACTACTCGTAATCATCAGCTGGTGGGTTTTAGTGGCGGGTATAACACATGTATATAATAGCGTTTGAAGACTACATGCGGTAAGTAATTCATATGAAATATCACAAGGTGCACATGCCTGCAGAATTAATTATTTGTATATTGTAAATGTTAAAGATAGAGGCGCGTTTGTAAATGTACTCAACGAACGCAGATATACTTTGTGTGTATATCAGATAAACTATTTCTCAAGATATACATTAGTTCTGGCAGGTCCTTTATGTAAGCGTATGGATTTTCTCAGAGGTAGAGAAATCATTCTGTGTATACACAGAAGTAGAAAGAGTTCCTTTTGTTATCTTCGTGTCGTGCTAGAGCATGGAATCGGAGCCAACAATGCTAATACTACAACATCTTGGCTTAACCACTGTTTTTGTTTGTGTATGAAACGAATCGGTCAATGGCACTTGGGTGTGAACTGACATTTTTCTCTCTGTCGATGTTGAGTTTTTGCCGTGGCACAGCGTCTATCGTCCGTGAATTTAACCAGTAGCTTGCTATGATGAAGCGTTTTCAATTTTGTTCTAATGAATGACTTTAACCCGCTTCATGTCAAGGTCACGTGGGTTAAATGTATTAAAGACTTCCTCTTGAGTACCCAAAAGCCCAGTTCTATGATATGAAGTTAGTAGTATGCTGGTATGAAAGACTTGTGATCTTGTTAAATAACTTTCTATGTCACGGGGGTTAAATGTTTGCTAGCGTTCAGAGTTTAAATGCGTTCAAGTTTATTCCAATGACTGTCGTTGACCAACTTTTAAGGTCATGGGGGTCAAATGTGGTAAAATCTTCACACAACTTCTTCCATTTAACAATTGACCAAGGGTCAAGATACATGGGTAATAGGATTTGTGTTTTCAAGCTTCAGAATAGGTGAGCGATAAAAGCCCATTGGGCCTTTTGTTTATATTGTGTTTGTTTGGTTAACGTGACAATGACTAAGCGTTTTAAAACACAAGATAAATATATCTTTATAAAGTTTGGAAAATTAAATGTATGTATACAGAATATACCCGTATACAGTCTTACAATATCTGGTTAATTTACTCTATGTTTTGTGATACCTTATCAAAGATAGGTCTGTTAGTTTCTCGAAGTTTTCAACGATTTTCGTGTATTTAAACTGAACACAAGAAGAAAATCGTACAAAGGCGGAAATGAATGAAATTACTGGTAATGATCTTCAGTCAGACTAGATAAGTGCCATTTTTTCCGAATGTTGATCAAAATTCTTAAAAACGTCAAACAATATTCTATTCTGAACGGTTTCGGGTCTCTATGGATAAATCATGATGTACCGAACGGATGATGATGGTTCCATCGGAAGCAGCTTGGCTGCATTCATTCGTACCGGTGACCTGAGCTAAGTCGGTTAATCTGAAGGAATCTGACCGTTCGGCCTTGGACTAGTGGCGATAAAACCGTTTATCGTGTCACACCTGTCGAATCCCGATATAAACACATCTGACCTTGTTATGTTTGATACAGGTCAAGAGAATCTGTGAGAGTCGAGCACCTCTATCAATCAAGAGACTGAAAGTACATATTGTGTCTATTGTATGCTGATGTTAGGCTTTCGTCCGTTGTCCGATCGTCCGCCCGTCCCATAAAAACAGGAAACATTTGAAGTACGGATCAGTGATTGTCTTCATTGTGTCAACAACATTTTAGTTTCACCGGAAGTTCAAGATGGCTGACATCCGCCATTATGTATTTAAAATATAAAATTTATAACGGCTTTGCTTATAAGAAATAGGAAAGAAACCCCCTTGTTGATAGTACAAGCACGATTTTTTATATATCCTAGTTACATATATATTAGACAGATAATAAACATAGCCATGGACTTTAGGAGTCTAATTATCACCTTGTAGTCTTTGTAATGTTTGTTATACCCGGTAGACCTAGTTATTAAACTGAATGATACTCGGAAATAATGTTATCTTCTCAGGAATCACAAGGTCACACCGAAATATGTCACACACCTTTGTGTCAGTTAGGTCCGAATTTGTCTTATCACCACCAACAACTTAAGGTCGTGTTTTACACACCGTCCGTTGTTACGATTTGACATCATTTCTTCATTGTGTGAGAGAGAGAGACATAGAGTGAGAATATCGTAGACTTTTTAACAGGCTGATAAAATTATTTATAGGACAATGATTAAGTGAAATAGATGTGGGTGGGCTTACTACAGGACAATGATTAACTGCAATAGATGTAGGTGGGCTTACTGCAGGACAATGATTAACTGCAATAGATGTGGGTGGGCTTACTACTGGACAATGATTAACTGCAATAGATGTGGGTGGGCTTACTACTGGACAATGATTAACTGCAATAGATGTGGATGGGCTTACTACTGGACAATGATTAACTGCTATAGATGTAGGTGGGCTTACTACAGGACAATGATTAACTACAATAGATGTGGGTGGGCTTACTACAGGACAATGATTAAATGCAATAGATGTGGGTGGGCTTACTACAGGACAATGATTAACTACAATAGATGTGGGTGGGCTTACTACAGGACAATGATTAAATGCAATAGATGTGGGTGGGCTTACTACAGGACAATGATTAACTGCAATAGATGTGGGTGGGCATACTACAGGACAATGGTTGATGCAATAGATGTGGGTGGGCTTACTACAGGACAATGATTAACTGCAATAGATGTGGGTGGGCATACTACAGGACAATGATTAACTGCAATAGATGTGGGTGGGCTTACTACAGGACAATGATTAACTGCAATAGATGTGGATGGGCTTACTACTGGACAATGATTGGGTAACTACAGGAATAGACTGGGTGGGCTTGGGCATACTACAGGACAATGATTAACTGCAATAGATGTGGGTGGGCTTACTACAATGGACAATGATTAACTGCAATAGATGTGGGTGGGCTTACTACAGGACAATGATTAACTGCAATAGATGTGGGTGGGCTTACTACAGGACAATGATTAACTGCAATAGATGTGGGTGGGCTTACTACTGGACAATGATTAACTGCAATAGATGTGGGTGGGCTTACTACTGGACAATGATTAACTGCAATAGATGTGGGTGGGCTTACTACTGGACAATGATTAACTACAATAGATGTGGGTGGGCAATGATTAACAATAGATGTACTACAGGACAATGATTAACTACAATAGATGTGGGTGGGCTTACTACAGGACAATGATTAACTACAATAGATGTGGGTGGGCTTACTACTGGACAATGATTAACTACAATAGATGTGGGTGGGCTTACTACTGGACAATGATTAACTACAATAGATGTGGGTGGGCTTACTACTGGACAATGATTAACTACAATAGATGTGGGTGGGCTTACTACTGGACAATGATTAACTACAATAGATGTGGGTGGGCTTACTACTGGACAATGATTAACTACAATAGATGTGGGTGGGCTTACTACAGGACAATGATTAACTGCAATAGATGTGGATGGGCTTACTACTGGACAATGATTAACTGCAATAGATGTGGGTGGGCTTACTACAGGACAATGATTAACTGCAATAGATGTGGGTGGGCTTACTACAGGACAATGATTAACTGCAATAGATGTGGGTGGGCTTACTACAGGACAATGATTAACTGCAATAGATGTGGATGGGCTTACTACTGGACAATGATTAACTGCAATAGATGTGGGTGGGCTTACTACAGGACAATGATTAACTGCAATAGATGGGAGTGGAATTATTATAGGACAATTATAAGCCTATGTTACGCTTTCTTATTCAACTGTAACAGATGTTATAGAACTGTAAAATTACTTTGTTTGATTTTTCTAAGTAAAAAATATGATAGGGTTTATTGCCAGTGGTTGGCTTATTACTTGCTAAATACGGTAGCTTCAAATATCCTAGAGTATATGGCCACTGAAGATTTGACCATCACAGACTGACCACTGGAGACTGAACTCACTTGTATCTCTGTAAGGTGACCAGTCCCTATAAGGTCCAGGCTGGTTGTCGCCTTTTATTTACACTCGGTGCACATAATCTACCGATAATTGACCATTTATTGATAAAACCTGGTGTGAAAGTCAGTTACCGTTATCTCACCTGCTGTTCTGGAGACCAGCACG